TGCTTAACTTACTTTGATAAGTTAAAGCAATGTAATAACTTATTGATCATATATTTTTTTTATGCAATGCTGTAAACTTGAATTAGGCTGCGTCTGAAATTGCATACTAACTTGAGTAGGTTATTTAGTAATCAGGCCTACTTCACGACCACTAAAAAACTTGTTCTATATAGTAAGAGTGTGTGTATAGGATGAATGTAACCTGGGTGTAAAGATTCGCCATGTTGTCATTATCATGTGACCTACCAGCGTCAGTCGCGTCACTGCCATTCATAACTCCTCTCCCGTGGCCTCATGGGATATTAAAGTGTCCATATGCATACTTCAGAATCTCATCAGAAGTAGTAGGCTAAGTCAACCGGGTATGTTTTGCCTTCTCTTTAATGAGGACTGTGAATTCAGACATATAGGCTACTTCTTTTGTCACATGCTGTTTTTGCCTATAGGGAAGTATGTGATTTCGATGCAACTAAATGACCTTTTCCAGGATGATGAATGAATCTGATGTAATACAGCCTAATTGATTGCTGCCATGATGAGAAGCAACAAAAATACAGTTGTTTTAGTACACAACAACAGAGTCATAAAAGGAATCTTCCTGAGATGTTTAATTGCAGACGGCATGTTTGATTTAGTATCTGACAAAATTATTAGTGCTGTCAAATCAATTACTTGAGTTGTTAAGTCACCTAACATAAAAGTATATAACTATATATTAATCGTAATTAACCGATTTGACAGCACAAAAAATGATCACTGATGTATCAGAAGGCATAAAAACAAAATGGTACAACCCTGATTTTAACCTTTTCTGAAGATTTGTCATCACCATGATGCTATAATGTTGTGGGTGGTTGCCCAGGCGTTGCTATGTGTTTGCTATTTTGTTCATGGTTGCTAGGGGATTGCTTGATGCTTTCAGGAAGTTAAACTGATTCTGATTCTGTTAAAAAATGCATGTGCAATAGTGATTTACTGGCTATATTTCCACCTGTATTATTTTGCTTGGTAGGTGAAAAACCTACACACTACACACAAATCCCCTGAAGTGTTGCTGTTGTTTGTATGTGTGTGTGTAAAGCAGAATTTAGTGTGTGGGTAATACAGGAGGACAGGGTTGTGTGTTGCTCATAAACGAGTTCGTCTTCTCTACTCCGTCTCTGTATGGGAAAGGCTTATTGAACATCACACGCATTCCCCCTACAGTTTATAGCTGAAATCAGCACCTTTTAGAATAACCATCTATTCTGCTCTCGCAGGATGGACAGACCCAGAGAGAGGAGAGGGGAATGAGAGAGAGAGAGAGAGAGAGAGAGAGAGAGAGAGAGTGTGTGTGTGTGTGTGTGTGTGTGTGTGAGAAAGAGAGAGAGAGAGAGAGAGAGAGAGAGTGTGTGTGTGTGTGTGTGAGAGAGAGAGAGAGAGAGAGAGAGAGAGAGAGAGTAGGATCTTCCTTATTTTCTGTTATCTATCTGAACTGAGAAAGGTAAATTGATTGAGTCTGACATGATACTGTATAGTGACCAGGTGTTAATATAGGCCTATTTTGAGCACAAAATTACATTTTCAAAGCACTCTATTGAAATTCCTTTTTGTAATTATTATTTCCCCCCTAAAATATTCTGCAATTCATTCTGCCGATCTAAATGCATGGTTTGTAGATGAAAACACAATTTTTGTCCACACCAGCGTGCTTGCCTGTTGCTTTAAAGGGATAGTTCACTTTGAAATTAATTTTTGATGTTTTAGCTTACCTTAAGGGCATCCAAGATGTAGGTGTCTTTGTTTCCGCAGTAGTTTCAATTTTGATATTTTTAGGTCAAACCGTTCTTGTCTGTCAGTCATTTAACGCAGGTCTATGGTCACCACCTCAAAGAGCATGCACAGAGAAGTCCAAATTAAACATGATTTAATGACTCGTAAATGTAAGTACGCATTGATGGCCTAAGACACGAAACGAGCGGTTTGTGTGAGAAAACGAACAGTATTTATATCGTTTTTACCTCTTGTAACGCACAGACCGAAGCGCCCGCGCCCTCAGATCACTTGGACGTGGCTGTGGTTACAAGAGGTAAAAACGATATAAATACTGTTCGTTTTCTCACACAAACCGCTCGTTTCGTGTCTTAGGCCATCAATGTGTACTTACATTTACGAGTCATTAAATCATGTTTAATTTGGACTTCTCTGTGCATGCTCTTTGAGGTGGTGACCATAGACCTGCATTATATGACTGACAGACAAGAACGGTTTGACCTAAAAATATCAAAATTGAAACTACTGCGGAAACAAAGACACCTACATCTTGGATGCCCTTGAGGTAAGCTAAAACATATCAAAAATTAATTTAAAAGTGAACTATCCCTTTAAATGCTCGAGCTCGCGTTTTTATCTGACCAGTATCAGCTGGATAAAATCGTTCTGAAAGTGATTCTAACCATATCGCTTCTCTGTGCAGTTATCGTAGCTGTGATGTGGACTCTGCTATTCTTTAATATTGAGAATGTTTTTTAGAACATTTATCGTTATCTTTTTAGTTATCGTCCTTGGTGTGAACCGACCTTTGTCGGGTGGATTCTGATTGGCTGTCAGTGTTTTTATCGTTCATCAGCTGGAAAAATCGTTCTGAAAGTGATAGGCTATTGTTGCTCTATTGTAGTTGTAAAAAAATAACAGCTCGAGTCCAAACCACAACTATGAATGGCACAGAGGAAGACATCCTTGAAATAACTTTTAAGGATGATTTTTTTCAGCCGATGAACGATAAAAACATTGACAGCCAACCAGAATCCACCAGACTTTAGCCTACTTAACAGAGCTAGAGCATTTAAAGTGGCAAAGGACAAAACTGCAGCACCCGCTTAAAATGAACAGAACGTCATCTTGCGTTGTTATGGCCACTAATAGGCTATAGTTTATAGTTGTCCTGATAATAAAGATAGCCTATAGGGTCCACAACAACGCTCTGTTTATTCTAATCAGGCGCTGTCATTCCGCTGATTTCCTGTCAATGTTTTATGGTTCATAGAAAAAAATCGTCAGAAAAGGATTCCAAGTTTCCAACGATGTCCTACATATGTCGTTATCGTTATAAGAGTTGTTTGGACTTCCCTGTTAGCACTTAGCACAGAATTAGACTCAAGGTGTCAGTGCCTGCAGGGGCACCAACGAGTCTCAATCCGCCACTGGTCCTTGGTGCAACCGGCTACAGTTGATCTCTCTCACATTGTGTGGATTATATATCTTTGCACATAGGCCTTATTGATGATTGCAACATTTGCATTTTTTTCCCCCAGGAAATGTAAATTAACTTTTAATTGCCAACATTTCTTTCCATCCCTACATTAATATCTTCTGCACTTTGACATTCCTGTTGTTTCGTGGCCCTTGTTCAGATAACCAACACAGTTACATCTCCCTCCATCTCCTCCCCTCCCCTAGCTCTCTCTCTGCCCTTGAGTTTTTCTATTACCTTGTGGAAAGCACCTCGCCTGGCATGACAAGCGCAGCGGATTGACACTAAATCAGAAATCAACGCTAGAGCTCAGCATGAAGGTCACACTCGCTCACACACTCGTCTCTATCTGAGAACACACGCGATTCGCTCATCTGTGAGTGTGTGTGTGTCTTGTCGAAGGGTCACACGGGCCCTGTGGGATTTTGAGAGGGGCCACACATCTCTGTAAAGTGAAGTGATGGTAATCCTCAAATAATTACTCAGCATACACACAGAGTCCATCACTCTCGTTCTTTTGAAGACCTGAGGCAGAATGTCGCCAGAGAGAAAGGCTTAGGCCTACTTTAATCAATTTACTTGATTATTCAGTTGGTGCGCCGTGCGATACTGTAGCCAAATGCCATACAGTTGGCTTTATGCGTGTGAATAATACATTTGGGAAGAGATTACAGACATTTATGCTCGAATATACTGATTGTAATCCCTGAAGCTGTGGATAACCTCGTTAGATTCTCAGTTCACACAGGCGTGTACGGCCTCCACAACAGGGGTTTCGAGTTGGTTGGTTTATACTGCCATCTAGCGGTTCCGCGATGAACCACAAGAACAGCAATATTTAAAATAATAATAATAGTAATACAGGGCTAAAACATATTTAAGTTCAATTACCTACAACAATTTTCTTACAGGAAAACATACACATAGTATTGCAGAGAATGTTTTGTTTTATAGGCCTATATATAAACCAGCAATAGCCTACATTTTAAAATACTACTACTAATAATAATAATAACAATAATAATGTTGTTTACATAAAATGTTTTGTTTTTGTAATAAACCATAATACCAGCAATACAATTCAAAATAATGATTAGCCTTTTATGATGATAAAAATACAACAAATAATAATTTAAAGTATAACAATGATCTATAAGAGTTTAGCTTGCAGGAAAAAAATACATAAAACACAATATCACAGATTGCTGCTTAATTTGTTTTAAATTGAGAGTGAGACTGTTCATCTAGAAACCAACTTGCAGCGAATGATCAAATGTTAAAATTTGGTGTTTTTCACTTCGAAAACACTGTGGGTCACGTGTGTCCCCTTGGAGCTTCCGTAGTTAGTCACATGAGTTCGCAGATTGTTTATAGTCAGCAGCTGATATGTTGCTGTCATAGACCAGAGACTAATCTGGTCGAAAATGCTCTCAGAGTGATAAAGATGATTTTACATGAACGTTTCCGAACATCGACAGTGATTTGACTTCTGTATCCGGTGTAACTGAAGTGTTTTTTTGGATCGAAAGCAGAACCGGAGCAGAACTGACACATTGTATCCGACGCGTCCTGTCAGTCAAATCTCGCTACAGTGTTTCGATGTGTCACAGTTGTAAACACATTCCAATAGAGATTCAGTTGACGCGACTAATTTTGTGTTTTAATAAAGAGTATCAACAGAACGCAGCGAGCGTCTCCGCCAGGCGGTTTCGCAACATGCAGATACACTGATTTGTCTTATTATTTATTAGCATTCAAAATCCGTTCGTTTGCATGTAAATCAGTTTTTTTTAAAAGAGCAGCATGCTGCGATGGATTCTGGGGGGTCGAGAGGCGCAGGGGACAGTGGAGGTGAGTACAAGACAATAAACCACACATACAGTGGATATGGGTCATTCTATGAAACTGCTGTCTTTTTCATTTCTCTTTAAGATTATATGTCATAGAGAATGCCATTAGTGTTTATAAAGTGCATTGTACCATCTATCAATATATGTAGAGATACAACTATGCCAGGATTGACAGTTCAGACTTGCTAGAGTCATGCAAGATGTTTATTAAAAAACAACGTTTTTCATCAAATATCCATTTTTTTCCGTGATGCAGTAGGCCCATTACAAGCTTTATATATATATATATAGGCTATATATACACATACAGTAGCCTACCGGTCAAAAGTTTGGAAACATTAAGGTTTTTTAATGTTTTTAAAAGAAGTCTCTTAACCTCCCCAAGGCTGAATTTATTTGATCAAAAATACAGTAAAAACAGTAATACTGTGAACTATTATTACAATTTAAATTAACTGGTTTCTGTTGTATTATATTTTTAAAATATAATTTACTCCAGTGATCAAAGCTGAATTTACAGCATCATTCCTCCAGTCTTCAGTGTCACATGATCCTTCAGAAATCATTCTAATATGGTGATGTGATGCTCAAGAATAATTTCTTATTATTATTAATGTTGAAAACAGTTGTGCTGCTTCATCTTTTGGTGGAAACTGTGATTTCTTTTCCAGACTCTTTAATGAATAGAAAGAACAGCATTTATTATAAATATAACTTTTTATAATATTTATTAATTCTTTTTAAAGGGTCTTTTTAAATCAATTTAACGTGCCTTTGCTAAATAAAAGTACACATTTCTTATATATATATATATATATATATATATATATTAGGACTGTCAAATGATTAATCACGATTAATCACATCCAAAATAAAAGTTTTTTTTACATAATATATGTGGGTGCACTGTGTATAATTATTTTGTATATACACTCACCGGCCACTTTATTAGGTACCCCATGCTAGTAACGGGTTGGACCCCCTTTTGCCTTCAGAACTGCCTCAATTCTTCGTGGCATAGATTCAACAAGGTGCTGTAAGCATTCCTCAGGGAGTTTGGTCCATATTGACATGATGGCATCACACAGTTGCCGCAGATTTGTCGGCTGCACATCCATGATGCGAATCTCCCGTTCCACCACATCCCAAAGATGCTCTATTGGGTTGAGATCTGGTGACTGTGGAGGCCATTTTAGTACAGTGAACTCATTGTCATGTTCAAGAAACCAATTTGAAATGATTAGAGCTTTGTGACATGGTGGAAGTAGCCATCAGAGGATGGGTACATGGTGGCCATAAAGGGATGGACATGGTCAGAAACAATGCTCAGGTAGGCCGTGGCATTTAAACGATGCCCAATTGGCACTAAGGGGCCTAAAGTGTGCCAGGAAAACATCCCCCACACCATTACACCACCACCACCAGCCTGCACAGTGGTAACAAGGCATGATGGTTCCATGTTCTCATTCTGTTTACGCCAAATTCTGACTCTAACATCTGAATGTCTCAACAGAAATCGAGACTCATCAGACCAGGCAACATTTTTCCAGTCTTCAACTGTTCAATTTTGGTGAGCTCTTGCAAATTGTAGCCTCTTTTTCCTATTTGTAGTGGAGATGAGTGGTACCCGGTGGAGTCTTCTGCTGTTGTAGCCCATCCGCCTCAAGGTTGTGCGTGTTGTGGCTTCACAAATGCTTTGCTGCATACCTCGGTTGTAACGAGTGGTTATTTCAGTCACTGTTGCCCTTCTATCAGCTCGAACCAGTCTGGCCATTCTCCTCTGACCTCTGGCATCAACAAGGCATTTCCGCCCACAGAACTGCCGCTCACTGGATGTTTTTTCTTTTTCGGACCATTCTCTGTAAACCCTAGAGATGGTTGTGCGTGAAAATCCCAGTAGATTAGCAGTTTCTGAAATACTCAGACCAGCCCTTCTGGCACCAACAATCATGCCACGTTCAAAGTCACTCAAATCAACTTTCTTCCCCATACTGATGCTCGGTTTGAACTGCAGGAGATTGTCTTGACCATGTCTACATGCCTAAATGCACTGAGTTGCCGCCATGTGATTGGCTGCTTAGAAATTAAGTGTTAACGAGCAGTTGGACAGGTGTACCTAATAAAGTGGCCGGTGAGTGTATATAAATACACACACATGCATGTATATTTAAGAAAAAAATATTATTTATATATAAAATATTTATATTTATATATAATATAAATTATATATAAATCTATACACGGTATATACATGAAAATATTTCTTAAATATATACAAGCATGTGTGTGTATTTATATATATGAAATAATTATACACAGTGCACCCACATATATTATGTAAAAAAACCTTTTATTTTGGATGTGATTAATCACGATTAATCATTTGACAGCCCTAATAAAAATCTTAAACCCTAAACTTTTTTATGGCAGTGTACCATGATTTTTTTTTAAAAGCAGCAAAAACTGTTTTTAACATTGATAAGAAATGCTCTTAGAATGATTTCTGAAGGATCGTGTGACACTGTAGACTCAAATAATGGCTTCTGAAAATTCATCTTTGCATCACAGAAATAAATGATATTTTAAAATGTATAACAACAGAAACCAGTTCATTTAAATTTGAATAATATTTCACAACCATACTGTTTTTACTGTATTTCTTATCAAATAAATGCAACCTCGGTGAGATTAAGAGAACACTTTCAAAAACATTAAAAAACCTTAATGTTTCTAAACTTTTGACCAAAATGTGTTTTATTTAATAATACAGCATAGAAAAGTTAGGCTGGACAAAAAAAGAGTAAAGAAGAAAAAAAAAGCTGTTATAAAAGTCACAAAAACTCAGTTTTGTAGCATAACCCATGTCCATTTTGTTGGCATTATTTAGCAATAAGCAGAAGATAAGAAGCAAGTTTCAGTGTCCAGCTCTCTTAAAGACAGGCCGACGCAGTCCAGCAAACAGCAGTCATTTCAGCACATTCTGTGCTAGATTGAAGCAATGATTCGTTTGTCTATTATATTCTCTCCGTGGGCAGAAGAGCGCGGCGCTGTTCATTGGGGAGGAACAGCCCAAAAACTGTTTCACGGAGATGCAGGTGCTGAAAGGACACTTTGACATTGTTCGATTTCTGGTGCAGATTGATGACTTAAGGTAAGCAATCCTCTTCTTCTGCCTCTGACCAGTGATTGACAGCTAAGACCGAGTCAAAAGCAAACTCCCAGAGCGTGACAAGTGCTTAATCATCACAGCTTCAGGGAGTTAGGTGTGTGTGCGCACTTCAACATACACTTGATGGTGTCCATCGGCTCTGGGCCCGTCCGCATTAACCGCTTTTAAAAAGCTCATGTATATACAAACACACAGCGCAGGCAGGGTGTGTGTGTGTTACGGCTGGCTGCTCCTGGGGATCTGGGTTCAGTAGGAGTGTTTCAGGTGAAGGCAGTGTGCAGAACGTCACTGATTGCTTTTAGAGTCCCGAGTCCTGTTTCTCTTCTCCAAGGCCTTTCATACTTCCTCTGTCTCATCCCTTTATCATAGTTTCATTCTCCTGTTCTTCCTGCAGACAATTCCTTTCTGAGCTCGAGAGGTCAAAGGTGACCTCAGCGTTTGTTAAGATCCAATCAGAAGAGAAGAACCGTCCTAGTGCATGCTTTTTATTTCAAACAGGCGGTGTTGGTTGCACTTTATTTTATGTACATACTATGTACTTTTTGTAGTAGACACTTACTGAGTAATAACTAGGTACTAATCCTGAACCTAACCTTAACCCATGTTGTAGTTACCTTACATTACTCAGTACTTTCATGGGTAAGTACATCGGAAGTGCTTGTACTGTAAAATAAAGTGCTACTGCGATGTTTGGTATATTTTGTGCTTTAAGGTTTATTCACTAGCGTGCCATCTGTGTGTTTTGTGATGTCAGGTTTGCATCTGCTGGAGACGATGGTCAGGTGCTGATTTGGAATGTCGAGGTGAGCAGAACTGAACTTCTGGAATATGCTAATCATATGTTAATGATATGGTAAATAGATGAAAAAGGTCAGAAGTCAGTCTGGTGCTGGTTGATTGTCTTTTGGCATAAATAGTATAATAACTAATATTAGTAATAATACTGCCAATAATATTATTATTTAATGTTAGTATTAATAATAATTAGTGCTGTGAAATTGCTTAATTGCGATTAATCGCATCTAACATAAAGGTTTTTGTTTACTTAATATATTTGTGTGTATATATATATATATATATATTTATAAATATGATATAAATGTGTGTGCGTAAATAAATATAAGTAGAAATAATATATATATATATAAAATAATATATATATTATAGAAATATCTATATACACACACATAATAATAATAATAATAATAATATTCTCAGACTCAAAGCGCTACAGCATGTACATATAATGCAAACAAAAATTAATGTATGTTAGATGCGATTAATCCCAATTAAACGATTTGACAGCACTCTTTTATATATATATATTCACAATATTGAAAATATTTAGTTTGATGTATTCATATCTTGCAACAGTTTGTGAAAAGTGAAAAAGAAACAGCAGAATTTGTGTGTGTGTGTGTGTGTGTGTGTTTCAGACTGGTGATTGTTTGTTGGAGTTGCGGGGCCATACGCAGCAGATCACTGCAATGACATCATACACCATCATCAGAGGCGGAAACACACACACAGCGCTCATTACAGCATCATCAGACCGAACACTCAGTGTATCCTTTTCTACACACACGTGCTGCTGAAGTGTGTGTGTGTGTGTGTGCTTTGTGTTGATAGTTGTCCTTAATTCTACAGCAGTTATGGGATCCAGATTCAGGAAACCGAGTGCAGAATATATCTGATCTCCAGTCCTCTGTGAAGGTACAGTACGTCAAGCCGTGTGTGTGGCCACCTTCCTGTTTCAGTGTGCAGATGGTTTGGATTGTGTGTGTGAACAGGTCTGTTCCTCTTTCAGTGTGTGTAGGTGGATTCTGTGTGTTTGCACACTGATCGATGTGTGTGTTTTTCAGTGTTTGCTGGTGTTGGGTCGCTTGGACGTGTGGCTCTCGGGTGGAAATGAACTGTGTGTTTGGAACAGAGACTTTGAGCTGAAGTGTAAAACGGTTCATCACAGTGATGAAGGTACACACACACACACACACAGCTAAAATGTAATATATTACTGTGTGATCAAAGCTGTATTTTCAGCATCATTACTCCAGGCTTTAGTGTCACATGATCCTTCAGAAATCACTCTAATATGATGATTTGCTGCTCAAGAAACATTTATTATTGTTGAAAAGAGCTGTGCTGCTTAATATTTGTTTTTTAAAACCATGAGAGATCTTCAGATTTTCAGGATTCTTTGAATATAAATATTTTTTTTAATAGAAATATGAATAGAAATAGAATAGAATTCTTTTGTAGCACTATAAATGTCTTTACTGTCATTTTTGTTATAAATGTAATGCATCCTTGCTGAATAAAGGTAATAATTTCTTTAAAAAAAAACAAAAAAAACCTCACTGACCCCAAACTTTTGACCAGTATATGTACAGTGTATTTAAATAGAATTATTTTCTGCTTCATTCTGAAGGAATCTCAGCCATGCTGGAGCTTCCCAAGAACTTCATTGCAGCTGCCATGGATAAAGAGATTGGTAACTGAAAAATAATATTTCAAGATGTTGAATACCTAAAAAAAAAAAAGAAAAAAAAAATGTAATGGTACTTTACAGTTTTAAAGTTTAGTTCAGTTTAAAAATGTTTCCGTTGTAGATGTGGCTATTTTTATTGTTAAGTTTGCTTGTAGTTAAATGAATGATTTGAAGTGATTTCTGACGTTTCAGTGATTTTTAAGTTGAACCTGTCGGGCTCAGACATTGTGGTTATGGCCATGCGTCATCTAGCCGACCATCGGGACACCATCCATTCTCTCATCAACATCAACGGTGAGACATTTGTTGGAAATCAATCCTATTTTCCCTCCCCATACACACATTAAGATAGCTTTGTATCTACTACCAGCGTGTGTTGAGTATTGCTGTATTTAGTGATGCTTATTGTTCATCTCAGACGGCTTGTTTGCGAGTGGCTCTCACATCGGTGAGCTCATCATCTGGGATTCAGTGGATTGGACGATCCAGGCTTATGAGCACATTGTGTGGGAGGAGCCAGCAGTGGACAACCAATCAGAGGTCAGACTGACTCAACAGAAACCCATCGAGAAGTCCATTCAACACATGAGCTCAGATGGAGAGGTAAAGGAGCGTTATATTCCATTATAAATAGAGAAAATGCATGTGTGTATGATGATTGTATCATGTAAATGTTGTCTCAGTTTATCGTGGCAGCTGTCGGCAGTGGTCTGTATGTTTATGATGTGCCGATGAAGAGTGTGGTGGCGTACAGGAAGATCGCCCATGATTCCAATGTCTTGCACACCATGCTGCAGAAGGACGGGTATGAAAGGCAATGCGATACTTTCTCCAAAACGTCTTTTGCGAAGCAATTGAGTAAAGCGAAGTGTTTGATGTGTGTTCAGGCAGTTGATGTCGTGCTCGGAGGACGGCAGTGTGAGGATGTGGGAGTTACAGGACCTCCCCCTTCCTGCCGAACCCGCCTCCTCAGGTGAGCAGGACACGCCCCCTTTCACAGCTCTTTCCATCCATCCGTCTGATCTCTCACCCCTTTCCTCTTTCCATCACAACCCACATCCTTCCTTCCCTCTTTCTGACATTGATCCAGATGTTCTCATATCATCATTCATCTCGTCATCCTGTGCAGAGGATGTGTGTGTTTACATGCGGTTCAGTCCAGCTGCTGTAAAACTATTAACCGAGGGACACACCAATATTTAAATGGGAGAAAAACAGCTTTTTATTTTTCTGATGTTCTTCAATTGCCCATAATTAATTTGCTATTAATAATAAACTATTATAATAAATGTTATTATAATAACATAAGAAATGGGATACTTGATTCTGATTGGCCTATTGCAGCAATTGTAATTTCAGGATATTTGTCTAGATGACTATATCCCTTGCTTATATAACTTAAATATACCTTTAATATTATAATTATTTAGTTATAATGGTAACACTTTACAATACGATTAGTTAACATGAACTAACAATGAACAATACTTCTACAGCATGTATTACTTTTAGTTAATGTTAATTTCAACATTTACTAATATTTTTTTTTAAATCAAAAGTTGTGAAGCTGTGAACTAACATGAACATGAATGTATTTATTAACTAACATTAACAAAGTTTAATAAATGTTGTAAACATTTTTTAACAAATATGACTGAAAACAGAAGCTTGTAGGTTTCTTTTAAAGTCTAAATTAATAATAATGATTTTACATTATCATGAGTTCAGTGTATTTTTCGAGTGGTTCGGCCAATTGAGATGTTTGATTTCTCTTTCAGGGTTTTTTGGCATGTTTGGCACTTTTGGCAGGTCCAGTAAGCAGTCATGCCCTCCTGTCACGAAACTCCCAGAAGTCCCTGGTCTGCGCTCGCTGCAACTGAACGGGGATCTGATTGGTCACTCTGGAGCTGTGCAGGTGGGTCATGTGGCATGGATGGTTTTTCTTTGACTAGTGGTATCGACCTAGTTTCATGAACTAGTTTTAGATGAAAGCTTTTGATTATGAGTGTCTTATTAGGAGTCATTGATCCTGGATGGAGCAGAGAATCGTTTTGACCTGCAGTTTAATTAAACTCTCTGACAGAGTGAAGGATGTGATCTACATACGAGTCAACTTTCGCATTGATCACCTGACATGTAGTCTGTTTCACCAGCACACCCATCACATTTGCATTATGTTATCAAGTCATATTGCATGTTTGAATAAACTTTATTATTGCTTATGTTAAAGTGGTTTAGGCATGCATATATAAAAACAAGAGGGGTGAGTAATTGATGACTGTTCTTTTAAGGTTTGTTCAATGCCTTATTACACATTCAAATCTGAGCTTGGTAGGATTTTTTTTAAATACTTTAAATACACATATATATATATATATTTGACCTATAAACCCCTTCTCTGAATATCAAAATGTTAGTTTGGCCAAGGCAGTGGAGGCTAACAGGAGCAGATTTGACTTACAGTAGCATTTTTAACCCTGAAACGTCAGAAGAAAGAGGATGAGAGGGGTGGAGGACAGGAAAAGAGGCGAATTGAGACTTCATCTAATGACCTACACTTCTATTATTAGTTCTGTGTATAAAGTTTAAGAATGTTCTAGTTCCTGTCGCTGCTAGAGATTTGGCTCCAGAAATGCCAAGGTCACGGGTTCAACTCCCAGGGAACTCACATAAAATGTAAAAAAAACGATTAAATGTTTGCCTTGAATCTACTACGGCATCATATGAATGCAGACCCTTTTAGTTACGTAAGCTGGATTTCATGCACGTTGGCTAATTTTTTGTCTTTAGACTGAAATATCCTTTATTTTATCGTCATTCGTTTTAGTTCGGGTTAAGGATTTCTTACTCGGTATTTTTGTCTTGCTTTCCAGTACAAATAAACTTACTTGAGAAGCAAAATGACTGAAAAATGGATCAAGATTAAGTGAGTTTATACTTAAAACAAGAACATATATCTGCCGATAGGGTCCGGATTTTTTTTTTTTTTTTTTTTTGACCCCATTGGTAGTAGATATTTGTTCTTGTTTAATCATTAACTCACTTCATTTCAATCAATTTGACAAAGTCATTTTGCTTCTCAAGTAAATGTCTTCATTTAGAATTTTTTGATATTTGTACTGAAACGAGATAAAAATACTAAGAAAGATAATCATTTTTTTAGTGCATAATCTAATTTGTCAACAAAAAACATTTTAGTAAAACCAAATATTCAAACATGCCAATTCTTTCTGCTTTATGTGAAAACATAAGTATTTTACGAATTGCCGATTTTGAATGAATTACGACGTGAAGTCACTAAAACATAAAATAGTGTGTTGGAAAGAACTTATACAACCTGACGAATTTTTGAACCTTTAACCCAAAATATCTCACTCAGTTTATAGCTTATATTAATGGCATTTAACTTAAAAATAGAACAAAAATGTATTTATCCACCTACTTTTTCCCAACATGGAAGCTATCTGTGAATGTGTGCGAACCAGTGTTTATAACTACGACAATATATTAAAATAATATGGTAAGAAATTTCAGTTTGCAATATCAAGCAAGCAGCATAACAAGCTGTTTTGTAGGCTATAGCTAAAAATAACTGAAAGCGGAAGCCAGGCGGTCACCGAGATTTTGCCAAGACATGTTCCTGGATCAACATATTTTGTTGAGCTGGAACAACTTTCCTGTCCTAAAATGTAGTCCTAACCATATCCCTACCCATAAGTCATCCCTAACACTGACGTAGAAGCACATAACCCTGCTTTTAAGCCTAAACTTGACAAAACTGTAAACTTGTCCCTCAAATCTGATTGGTTGATTGGAATGTTGTCCCAGGAGGATCAACAAAGACGTTGATCCAGGAACACGTTGCACTCGGCGAGATCACGTTCACCGAAGCCAGAAACATTCAAGTTACAAAAGGCTCTTACGTTAAAAGTAATGTGGGTATGTTATGTAACTAAAGGACTCATTTAATGTGGCTTGTGTTCCAGATGTTCCTGAGTTTTAAGGAGAAGGGTCTGGTCACCTGCTCCACGGATCACCTGCTCATCGTGTGGAAAGATGGAGAGATGCAGTCTCAACTCCGCAGTCTCGCCGTCTTCCAGAAACTGGAGGAAAATCAGGAACTGTGACGTAACCTGCAAACAAACATTTCCCCCATCGTCTTCAGGTCGTGTTTTAAATACGAACACCGATCCTTTGCCTTACTAACCGTCTGCAAAGCCATGTCACATCAGTGTTCAAATTGTTTCAGTATGATACAATGCTTACAATGTTGTGATTTTAGTTTGTTGGTTTTATGAGTGGGTTTTAAGTAAGTGTCTTATAGTAAACGTCTGTTGATTTGTATATATTGTGTGATTGATGCGAGTGTAATTTTAAAACTGATTTATTTAAAGTGCAATGGTAACGCTTTACAATAGTCTTATTTGTTAACATTAGTTAATGCATTAGCTAATATGAACTAACAATGAGCGTGATCATTTTGTTACAGCATGTATTAACCTTTATACAGTTGTTCATGTTAGTTCACAGTGGATTAACTAATGCATACAACTTGATTTTAATGTATTAGTATATGTTGAAATCAACCAAAAATGAGCAATACTTCTACATATATATTGTTCATGTTAACTAATTTAGTTAACTAATGTTAAATGAAACCAAAATAGTGAAGTCTGGTCAATGTGATTTTGAATACCTCTTGAATGTATGCTTCTGTATTTTTTCAAACAATTGTGCAGTTGATTAAAGCTTGTAAAATCAGATCACAAACACGTTATTGCAAATTTTTATTTTTCGTGTGTGTCACAAACACAATGGTTTCAGAGTTGAAGTGACATCTCTAAACGACAGCAGATGTAGAGACAGAATCAAACAGAAACAAAGCGAACAGAGGTTTTATGCATTTTTTTGTACAACTGACAATAAAAAAAAAAAAAAATCCTTTGACAAAGCAACCTGTTGAATGACACGTGACCGCTTTTACTTTTAGTGATGTATTTGTTCAATAAAAAATAGAAAATATACATTTGCGCAAGAAAAATGCTAGTGTGCATTCCCAGTACTTCAAAAATACAGTAATTGGCACAGAATCTGCACCCATCGATACAGTTCACGCTCGCTAATCGACCAGGCTGGCTGCGTCTCATCCGGTTCTCAGAGCAAGACCCGCCCCTGGCTATGATGTCATTGTGAGGTCATAATGGTGTGCCAATAAGAGAGCCCTTTGATCGTGAGGGTGAAGTGTGAAGGATGAGACTTTGAAAAGATTCGCGACAACGTTCAATATATGACCACGGACTAATCCGTCATGAATTATTTCACCTTTTTTTTAATACTTTAGGTAGTTAGGTAAAGTTAGTAAGGTAGTAAAGTATGTTGTACTGACCGTAGCTATGTTTCCATCCAGTTGTAAATTTAACATGCGCAAAATTGGAATATCGCATAAAACATCTGCGAATAAAGCACCGTTTCCATCCCGTGTGTTCAAGAGAACAAAATTGAAAATTGGCCAAAAAAAAAAAAGTAATACAAATGGAAGGTGTTACAATCGGGGAAGCCACATGTTGAGTGTGCACACAACGCAACAAACGCTGTCATGATATCTTTCTTTCGGATGCTGGTTTTTGGGAATGCAATCATGTGAGATCCTTCTGAGAGGGAGTTAAACCAAATCATTCGGATGACAGACATTTGGCTCAGGCGTTTCAGAACGACCAAACCAACATTTGAGCTGCTGTGCGATGCAAAAGGTCCACTGGTTATTTCAGTTATCCAATCACATCATCTGTTGAAGCAAAGTCATGTGAGTTTGTTGTTGCACATTGAAGGATTTATTTGGTAAATCGGTTTCCATCATAGTTTATGCACACGTCTTCTTATTGGATAAACATTTACCCGCCTCAATTGAGCGCATGTATTTTATGCCCATTTTAAGAATTTTTATGCACAAAAATAGGTGGATGGAAACAAAGCTAGCTAGTGATAATGGACAGAGCATGAGCCTGAGCGTTGAGATTCTCTGAATCTGACATAAGATGCAGCTAAAATTAAAAATGAGCCTTTTGGGTGAACCTATAAAATAACAGTACTAATTAAAGACATATTTAGGCTCAAATTCTCAACAGCACTGATGTCATAATATTGACTTCAAAGCTAAAATAATTGTGACTTATCCCTCTCTCTCTAAAAAAAAAAGGATAGTTAAATTATGCACAAGGAGTCCAGAAATCAACCGCAAAAATTACCTCAGTAATGCTTAAATAGAAGTTCATCCACCTTAGAAATTAGTTCCAGCTTTAAAATCCTGACTTTAATATTACAACAATAGTATTATAAATTATAATACATGTATCTTTCAAAAATATTATAAATCATGAGCTTTATGTTTCTGATTTTAAACCCTCTGGAACTTTTAAGTACACTACTGTAACTGCGATATTTGCTTTGCTTTTTAAAAATAAAAGAAGATAAAAAGAAAATGTACAGAGGGATGAGTCAAAATGATTTTCTATTGTATTCGAAATTATGCCCCCAAATCCTGTTGATAAATCTTGTACTGAATCCAGACTGTTTCTTTACATCATCACTAAATATTCAACAACAAAGCCACCAGTAACTAAATTATCCAACAACCTCCGGGACAACTAATAATCCCCATGTTTATATCACAATGGACCTTTGAGAAGAAACAATCACATGGTCACGTCATATTTTAAATCTGCTGTAGAATCTCATCATCAGTGTTGCGTGAATGAGGACCGGTTTAACCCACCACGTGTGTATAACAGAGATTAAGGCATCGACTTCAGTTTGCTCTCTACACTTCACATATTCATATTAATATCGTTAAAAGAGTCCATATAAATTCAGTCAAAACATCTGACTTTCCCTGGTTACGTTTTGTACTTCAAATTACCTATAAAGCCTGAGTGTGACAATGCAATGAACTGTTTTCTTGCTGAGCGGGATAATGCTGGCCTACACAAGACAGGAAGAGAGAGGATGAGCAGGGTGGAGGACAGGAAAAGAGGGAATAGACACATCATCTTCTGACCTACACTTCCATTATTAGTTCTGGTATGTTCTATGGCTTATCTCTGTCGGCTCCAAACCCAGAATCAGACCACCAGATCAAGACTCGTCTGAGATGATCGAAAATCTCCACTGGAATTTGTTCATCGTGCAAATCATTTCATTTTAACCATGTCATTTGATTTCGCACTACAGGATGTCAAAACGGATCAAATTTACCATTACACAATAAACGAGAGCATGTCCTGTCTGTAAATTGGGCACATTTTTGTCCTCCGCCAGCGTTTGACTGGTAGTGTCATGAGAAAATTTGTTTGTTGTACTTTCCTTGATTACTGATCAAAAGGACTTTAGGTAAAAAAAATTAACAAAAACATTTTAACTAAGAAATAAACAAACACAAGCTCATTGATACTTGTTAATTCATAGTTATGTGAAATGCAACTACGTAACACCATCAATAGAATTCAAATTATAGTCCAAGTTGTTCCCTATTTGAATTTCTTTCATCTGCTGAACACAAAATATATATTTTTTGAAGAATGTGTGTAACCGAACAGTTGATGGACCCCATTGACTTCCATGGAATGGGAAAAAATGTTGATGGACCCCATTGACTTCCATAGAAAGGGCAAAACAATACTATGGAAGTCAATGGGGTCAATCAACTGTTCTGGTTACACACATTTTTCAAAATATATTTTGTGTTCAGCAGAAGAAGGAAATTCATACAGGTTTGGAACAGCTTGAGTTTTTTTTTTTTTTGGGTGAACTATCCCTTTATATAATGCATATAGTTCTTTAGATTTACCACTAGATGGTGACAAGAGCATCCGCCATAATTTGTACTGCAGCATTCGTATCTGTAGAGCTAAAAAAAAAAAAAAGAAAAAGAAAAAAAAGGCATGCATATATAGTATATTATAAAATAATTCTTAATGCATTTATATAATAAATCAGTTCTTGTACAAAATTGTGACCACAATTATAGCTTTAAAAAACACAATGCCTTTAAAATTCATAAATCATTACCAAATTTCATGTGTTAAATCATAGTGTATACCAGTGGTTACACTGAAACACTTTACACGTACAAAATAGATTTTTTTAATTGGAAAAAATAATCCCTGACATCATCTGGTAAAAAATATTGTCTGATTTAGATCACAAGTAATGATTTAAAAATGTTAATATCGGCCAATACCCACGGATATAGCATGCATTAAGAATACTTTATATAATACATTACATATAGAGGCTTCAAAAGTGCTACCAAAACCACTGTTCTACCCTTGCGACCACATTAAAGCAACAAGAAAAAAGGGAGGGAAACAGATAGAATCAGGAAGGATGAGAGAACAGGAAAGAGGAAAATCAAAACCCTGCGAGCTGCTGAATGTGCACCACATGCCTTTAACTGCACAATGCTTAAAAACACAGTCACCGAGATGCACTGCCAACCGAAGAACAACAAAAACAGCTGCTGCCATCTTACAGGGGCATTCAGACCCGTCTATGTCATGATGATGTCATCGCACTCGCGGTGGTGTCGTGCTGGTGAGTTTAGAGCGGTCGCTGTGAAGTCATTGTAAAGATGAAGCTCCTTTCCAATCGCGTCTACACAATGTATAAAGACTAAAAGGCTGAACTCGTCAACCGAGTTATAAACATTTAACAAATTCTTACTAAGCCTGTAGCGAGCCAATGCAATTCAGCTACGCGTCCAACTGTAACCCGGAAAAAATGAGGTGCCCAAATAACAAATGACACTAACAGCTACACTTAAAAAAATGATTAGGGTTATTTTTTCTTAAAAACTTCTCACCAATCGGTCAGTGTGACAGATTTCAAGAAATCTAAATTAGTTCTTTTTTCAGTCGAAACGGCTTCAGCCAAACATCTGTTTAAAACTCATCATTGTGTTTGATTATAAACGTACTTTGGCACTGGATGCTTTCTGGCCTACAAAAGGTGAACGTTTGAAGCTTGTCGGCGATGTGCGTCTATGGTAAAAGCAGAACCGAGATTACGAACGCGATATACAGCTGAGCTCAATTTTGTAAATAAATAATACTTAAAAATGGTGTAATACTTATGATACGTGCGAGTTCTCCAGTCAGCATGAGCAAATGTCAATGTGTCAGTGGTCTCGTTATGAGGCTGTGCTGGAGTTTACACACAGATTAGGGAATGTTGCATCCGTACGGACCATTGCGTTAAGTAGGAATGTTGACTGCCATGTGTAAAATGTTCTCATATGCTTCACATTTATCACTAAGCACATCATAACATACACACACTCGTTCTTTCGCTCACACACACGCATCATCAAGCTTCACGTTATTACAGTATGTGTCTGGATATACAGTGTTTCTGAGAAATATATTCTTTGTTATTATTGGCTATTTAAATCAAAATTATTGATTATTACACACCAGTCCTTGGATTCTGAGAAAGGCTTGAGTCGTTCTGATACAGAAAACGCTGGAATAACGATAGCCCGCAGCAGGCTAATCCGTTGCAGTTTTTACATTCTCACACACTGAATCGTGTTCAGTGCTGATCAATACCAAATTCATCGTCCGAATACAAGCAAGTCTTCAGTTCTTCCGGTTTGGCAACTTGACATTTGCTTCTCTCGACAATATTCTGTCGAAATATTCCATCTGCATTGATTTGATCAAATTAATAAGGGGGAAAATGTGGTTGGACTGAAGGGAGTGCCTCATGGCTCTCTACTGGGTCCTTTGTGGTTTCCAAAGTAGTTTAGTCCCACTGACACAGTTTTACTCCTTTACAACTGCTTCAGAGTCCAAATAAAGCCCTTTTGGCATTTGGATCTATGACCCCACATATCTGTAAATATTATATGTGCAAGTGTATAGTTACAGACCTCTCTGAGCATACACGTTTCAGTCCCAGTGTACATCCCATAGTTTAGCGTATATAGTATATACAGTCCTCTGCTGGACTAAGATCAGTCTTTATCTTCTTGCGTCAGACATTAAAAAAGATCATTTAAAATAGCCGAAAGAACACAGAGGATAAAAAAAAGAGAAGTGAAGAAAGTAAAAAGATGCTGGAAGAGGACTGTATGCTGATAAAGTGCATTCATTTTGTCGTTTGTTTGTGTTTTACCCTTGTTACCGGGCGATTGTCGCTAGGGTTGGAGCGTCGTCGGGAAAACAGGGCAGCTGATCTGTGTTCAGTGGATGAAATCTTTGAGGCCCGGCAGAGATGCTACATTCAACCTCTGACCTTTGACCCCGAGGGTAAGGGAGTCATGAGGGTTCACGGAGGAGGTGGAGGCCGCAGGCTTTTACATTTCATCTCATCCAAGTTCTTCCAGTATTTGTAGTTCTCCGCCAAATGCTCCATCAGACCTGGCAAACTGGCAAATGCTTGAGAGAGAGATAGAGAGAGAGAGAGAGAGAGAAAAAAATTGGTCTGTGCAATTAACAGTAGTTGACAGCCTGATAACTGTAATTCATTTTTTTGAAACATTAATAATTTTATTCAGCTTGCATTAAAATGATTAAAAGTGACAGTAAACGACTCGGTTACTAACGTAACCTCGGTTCCCTGAGAAGAGGGAACGAGTATTGCGTAAGTAGCTTACGCTATGGGAAAACTCCTTTTCTCGAGAAATATTGAAGTCTTTATGTAAAACGCATTGCAGCTGCACAGCATACAGCAATGAGCGAGGCAGCTCGGTCATTGGCTGTGCTGCGGCAACTGCACGAACCTATGACGGGGCGACTCTGAACCCGCTTCCAATGAGCGTGCTTCACGCCCTCGCGCGTCAGAGCCCGCCAAGATGGGCGTGGCCAAGGGCTATATATTGGGCGCCCCGTCGTCTGAGTTCTTTAGGTTCAATCGACTGAAGCAAACTGACCAAGCACAAGCACGGCAGCTTACGCAATACTCGTTCCCTCTTCTCAGGGAACCGAGGTTACGTTAGTAACCGAGTCGTTCCCTTTCGAGAGGTTCCTCTTATTGCGTAAGTAGCTTACGCTATGGGAACGCCATGTAAAACGCCGTGCGTGCTGACTTCGCTCTATTAAGCCGAAGGCAGATGCCTGAGCCTTTAAGCAAAGTAATTATCCAACGAGCCAGCCGAAGGCGGGCTTTATAAAGGACAACGTGGAACGGCCCAATGGGCGTCCAGAGAAACACACAAGCACATTTTTATGTACTGTCATGCATGAAAAATCCTCTACATCAGTCAGAGACGGATTCTATGAGGGAGGAGACAGTGCTCAGCATGTACACACCCCAGCCTATGCATAGTTAGACCGACAGTATGTTAGAGTGCAATGAGGGGACCTGTAGGTTATAAAACCTGATAAATGTTGACGGTGAGGCCCAGCCTGCTGCCGCACAAATATCTTGAATGGGTATCCCACTCGACCACGCCCACGAGGAGGCCATGCCTCTCGTAGAGTGAGCTCTGATGCCCAAGGGGCACTGAAGGCCCTTGGCTTCATAAGCCAGCGCTATAGCATCCACTATCCAGCGCGATATTCTTTGCTTTGAAACAGCGAGACCTTTGGTGCGGCCGCCAAAGCATACGAACAATTGCTCTGTCTGTCTGAACAGGGCAGAACGTTCCAAATATACTCTGAGCGCCCTGACCGGGCAGAGTAAATCAGCGTCGCTTTCGTCTGCTGGAGACGATAGCGCGGCCAAAGATATCACCTGTGCTCTGAAAGGTGTAGAGAGCACCTTCGGAATATACCCGTGTTTTGGCCTGAGGACAACCCTGCTGTCGTTAGGTCCAAACTCCAGGCAGGTAGCGCTTGATGACAGCGCGTGCAGGTCGCCCACTCTCTTGACCGAGGCGAGAGCCAGCAAGAGAGCAGTTTTGAGCGAGAGCTGTTTAAGGTGCACAGTTCGGAGGGGTTCGAACGGGGCACGCTTGAGTGCGTCCAGGACCGTGGCCAGGTCCCAGATCGGCACCGAGGGGGGGCGTGGGGGATTCATCCTCCTGGCGCCCCTCAGGAAACGAACAACTAGGTAGTTTTTCCCTAGTGTGCGTCCTTCCACAGGGTCGTGCGATGCCGCTATGGCAGCCACATATACTTTGAGCGTGGAGGGGGTGCGGCCTGCCTCCAACAGCTCTTGTAAGAAAACGAGCACACTCGGTACTTCGCATGTCTCAGGGTTCAGGTTCCTGGATTTACACCAGTCACTGAACACCTTCCATTTCTGGGCATATAAGCGCCTCGTAGAGGGCGCTCGCGCCTCAGTGATGGTTCTTAACACTCCACTGGGGAGGTTCCCGGGAACCCGTTGAGGGGCCACGCATGGAGGGCCCACAGATCGGGGCGGGGATGGATCATCCCGTTGGCCTGCCTGAGGAGGTCTAGCCTCAGTGGAATCGGCCATGGGGCAGATTGCATCATCTGCATCAGTTCTGGAAACCACGTCTGGTTCTTCCAGAGTGGGGCTACCAGGAGCACTGCACATTTCTCCTCCCTGATCCGGCCGATGACCTGAGGTAGCATCGCGACCGGAGGGAAGGCATACAGCGGGCGGCTCGGCCAGACTTGGGCGAGCGCGTCTGTGCTCTTTGAAAAGAAGAGAGGGCAGTGCGCATTTTCCTTGGAGGCAAAGAGGTCGACCTCTGCTCTGCCAAAGGTTTGCCATAACCACTGAATCGTCAGGGGGTGGAGAGACCATTCTCCTGGGAGAACCTTGTCTCTGGACAGCATGTCCGCTCCCTGGTTCAGAACACCTGGCACATGCGCTGCTCTCAGCGAGCGCAGGTTGCGCTGGGACCATAGGAGGAGCTCCCTGGCCATCGAGTGCAGGGAGCTCGATCTGAGTCCACCCTGACGATTTATATGCGAGACTACCGTCATGTTGTCCGTTCGGACTAGGACGTGCTCGTCCTTCAGGTACGGGAGCAGGGCTCTGAGAGCCAAAGCGACCGCTTTCAATTCCAGACAGTTTATATGTAGGCGCTTCTCCGGGTTTGACCACAAGCCGGAGACAGGCCTGCCCTCGTAAAGGGCCCCCCAGCCTATTTTGGAGGCATCTGTCGTGATCATTTTTCTCCTTGTGTTCACGCCCAAACTCACGCCGGACTGATACCAGTCGACAGCTTTCCAGGGCGTCAGGGCTTTTATGCAGCCGTGATTCGCTCTGATTAAAAAGTGGCCCGAGCGCCACGCGTGAGTGGGGACACGGCTTTTGAGCCAGCGTTGGAGAGGACGCATGTGCAACAATCCTAGCTGGAGTACAGCTGATGCTGAGGCCATGAGACCGAGCATCCTTTGAAATCGCTTGACGGGGGCGCGCGCACCCGCTCTGAACGATGTTGCAAGGCGCCGGATAGTGAGCGCGCGCTCTGACGAGAGGCGCGCCGTCATCTGCACTGAGTCTAGCACTATTCCCAGAAAAGAAATATTCTGGCTGGGGGATAGCATGCTCTTTGCAGAATTGATTCTTAGACCCAGGCGATCTAGATGACTGATAATCCAAGACCTGTGTGTCACTAACTGGCTCTCTGATTGTGGTAGGATTAGCCAATCGTCGAGATAATTTAGTATTCGCACTCCCCGCTGTCTCGGGGGGAAAGTGCTGCATCCATTCATTTCGTAAATGTACGGGGTGCCAGTGACAGGCCGAATGGTAGTACTGTGTACTGGTATGACTGTCCCTCGAAAGCGAATCTCAGAAAAGGCCTGTGATGAGGCGCTATCGGAATGTGAAAGTAAGCGTCTTTCAGATCCACTGATAGAAACCAATCCCCTGGGCGAACTTGCGCGAGGATATGTTTGGTTGTTAACATTCTGAACGAGCGTATCATTAAAGCTTTGTTCAGATGTCTGAGATCTAGAATGGGGCGGAGACCGCCATCCTTTTTCGGGATGAGAAAATAGCGGCTGTAAAAACCTGCCTCGCTCATAGAGGGAGGGACTGTCTCTATAGCGCCTTTCTCTATCAGTTTGAGCATCTCGGTGCGTAGAACATGTGAAACATCTTTTCTCACTTTCGTCTCGACCACTGCTGTGAAGCGGGGCGGTCTGCGAGCGAATTGAAGCGAGTAACCGTGTTTTATTATGTTCAAAACCCATTTCGGCATGTCGGGGATATTTTCCCAAGCTTTCGCTCGCACAGATATGGGCTGAATGCTGGCTGAGGGCGTGTCGCAGTGACGTATGGCCCCCGCCAGCGAATCGCTCTGTGCTAATGTCGAGCTTACAGCTCTCAGCGGCGCGGGCGCGCGCTGAGCAGCTTTGTTGAATGCCGAGTGCAGGGGTGCGTGTGAGATTACAGGCACGCTCGCCGTAATACTCACAGAGTGAGATGGGGAAATGTTTAACACTGTATGGGCAGTGCTTATGGGTGGGGGTGCATAAACTGTGGTAGGCACGCGCGCCACTTTCATAAAACTTCCCGCTCGTGGCGGGAGGTTTTTGGTCATATAAACAGTGTTTGTGAGTTGGGGTGCATGCATAACAGCGGGCACACGCGCCACTCTTATAAAACTTCCCGCTTTTACTGGGGAAGTGTTTATAACTGTGGGAACAGTGCTTATGTGTAGTGGTGCATACGTGACAGTTGGCCCACAATCTACTTTTATGGGGCATCCAGCTTGAACTGGGAAAACATTTGGCACTGCGTTGACAGTTTTGATATGTGGGAATGCGCACTTTGGTGTGGACACGTGACCCTTTAATGACACAGGCAGAAAATAGCTCTTTATGTGATTTCTGTGTGTCGCCGTAAAAACGGCGTTTGTTTGCAGGTGGGCGAGCTGTGTGGCTGGCACATTGGCTGCTGTATAGACATTTCCAGCCGCCTGTAAGGGGACTGGGTAATGCTTTAAACGTTTTGGAGAGAACGGTCCGGCTCTTGCGAGACACGCGCTCCCCCTTTTTCTCCCTGTAGCTAGGAGGACTTACGAGGCTCTGGGTTCAGCACAATCTTGGGCCGAGGTCCCCGTCGCTCGGGCGGTTGCTTCCTGTTGGCAGAGCGCGAGCGGCGTTGAAAATCCGTTTCAGGTCTGGGCTGAGAGACGGGAGGCGCCGTCTTAGCTCGCTGCTGCTGAGGCGGCCTTTGGCGGAAGTGACGCATAGCCTGCGAGTCCTTACGGGCTTCGGTGAAGCGCTCGGCGAACTCCTTCACCGCTGGTCCAAACAGGCCGCTTTGTGAGATAGGCGCGTCGAGAAATGGCGCCTTATCTGCATCCTTCATCTCTGTTAGCGTCAGCCACAGATGGCGCTCAAGGACAGTCAGGTTAGCCATAGCACGGCCGATGGATTGGGCGGTGGCTTTTGTAGCTCGCAGCGCTATGTCAGTGGCGCTGCGTAGGTCCTTAAATGCCTCAGGATCGGGTCCTGACTCGTCCATACTGCGGAGAAGTTTAGCTTGAAACACCTGGAGGACAGCCATAGAGTGAAGCGCTGATGCAGCTTGGCCGGCGGCGGCGTATGTGCGACCAGCGAGAGCTGACGTAGACCGGCAAGGCTTCGATGGATGAGAAGCTTTAGCTTTCCATCCAGCGTTGGAGGGTGGACACAGATGATTGGCCACAGCCTCCTCGAGGGGCGGAGTCCCCTCATAGCCTCTTCCTTTCGCGCCGTCCACAGAGGAGAGCGACAAAGAAAAAGAAGGCTTCAGGCGAGCGGAGTGCGGGGCTTTCCACGACTTCGTGAGTTCGTCGTGAACTTCCGGGAAGAAGGGGGAGGGCCTTTGCCGAGGGGCCTGTCGGCGCCCCTGCAGGAACCACTCGTCCAGTCGGCTGCGGGCGGGTTCTTCCGGGGAAGACCAATCGAGCCCGAGGTCTTCCACGGCCTTAGACAGGATGCGGATGATCTTAGAATCCATGCTGGAGCCCGCGCTCATGCCCGCTAATGTCGATGGCGCGGGGTCGAACGACGAACCCGGCCAGTCGTCGGATGCAGCGTCACCGGAAAAACTGTCATCCTTGTCATCGTCATCCCCTGACGCGCCAAACGAGACGAGCCCCATCGCTCCGCTGGAGGGGTGCTGGTCCGCCTGTGTGAACTGGACTGGCGGCGGGGAGTCCTCGGGTGGTGGTGAAGCACGCGGGGATTGGCCCGGCGTGACATCACTGCAAACCGCGTGCTCTGGCGACCTCTGTGAGCGGCGCTTTTTCTTGCGCGGCTCGACCAGAGGAGATGGCAGCACGGAAGAGGTGGGCTCTTTCGCGGTGAAAACGGCGAAGCGAGCGCGCAGCTCGGTGAGGCCCAGGGCGTCACACTCGGGACATCCGCCTCGAGTAAGGGCAGCCTCTGCGTGGTCCGGTCCCAGGCAGCGGGCGCAAATGATGTGACGATCCCCGTCCTGAAGAGGGCCTCGACACGAGGCGCAGGAATGCATTTGAAACAACGCCTTGTTAAATTTGCTCTTTTAGAAAGTGTCGCGGGGGCGAACACTGAAAGCTTTTGAAAGGATATTAGATGATGCGCGCCGGATGGCTTAGCAGAAGGGCGATCGAAGGCGGCTGAAGGCGCCGGCGTCCTCGAAGCAGTCCTGCTGTAGGCTTGTCGACGGCGGCGGCGAAAAGACTCCAACAAATCCGGAGGATCCAGCGAAGAGAAGGTTCTTTGCTGAAGGAGATTAAATCTAAAGAACTCAGACGACGGGGCGCCCAATATATAGCCCTTGGCCACGCCCATCTTGGCGGGCTCTGACACGCGCGGGCGCGAAGCACACTCATTGGAAGCGGGTTCAGAGTCGCCCCGTCATTGGTTCGTGCAGTTGCCGCAGCACAGCCAATGACCGAGCTCCCTCGCTCATTGCTGTATGCTGTGCAGCTGCAATGCGTTTTACATAAAGACTTCAATATTTCTCGAGAAAAGGAGTTTTCCCATAGCGTAAGCTACTTACGCAATAAGAGGAACCTCTCGAAAGGGAAGACATGGTACAAAAAAAATTATATTTCAAATAAATGCTGTTCTTTTGAACTTTCTATTCTTTAAAGAATCCTGAAAAAATGCAGCACAAATTTTTCAACATTGATAATAATAAGAAATGTTTCTTGAGCATCAATTCAGCATTAGAAAGATTTCTGAAGGATCATGTGACACAAGACTGGAGTAATGATGCTGAAAATTCAGCTTTACATCAAAGGAATACATTACATTTTAAAATGTATTAAAATAGAAAACAGATGTTTTAAATTGTAATAATATTCCACACCATTACTGTTTTTACTGTATTTTTGATCAAATAAATGCAGCCATGGTGAGCATAAGTCTTTTTTCATATCAGTAAGCAAATGTTGTTCATTCTAATGTTTTTCTTTTTCCTCATATTACCATCTGTTCCGTTGCAATGGTTTCTGGCAGACGGACTACAGACGGTAGACTGTGCATGTTTTTGTTTGCATGAGTGTAAATATGGCAATTTGTATGTTCACACATATGCACGCACTTTCAGATCCTCCTGAGTATGATTTCAGTGCCCCCCGCTGAATCTGTCCAACACACACACACACACACACACACACAGCTTCTCTATGATAAACTGACCTGATTGTGACCTTGGGAACTAAATCTGCGGAGAGCTCAAGAGATTCTGCTTCACTGCATCCTGACCCCAGACTACGGAAATCAAAGACACACACACACAGATGCACATTCTCTCTCTCTCTCTCTCTCTCTCTCTCTCTCTCTCTCTCTCTCTCTCTCTCTCTCTCTCTCTCTCTCTCTCTCTCTCTCTCTCTCTCTCCCTCTCTCTCACACACACACACACACACACACACACACACACACACACTGTCACCCCTGTCCCTCTCCGCGATTTTTCAAGTTTCCGTGACATCATGGCTGTTGCGTGTTGACAGTATGCAGGTTTATTCTCTGGAGCTCAGCTCAGTGGGAAACACTGAACCTAAAGTTTCCAAAGCTCACCACTACAATCATCTCAACCTCTGGATAACATTATCACAACCTCTCAGCAACCATCTAATAGACCCTCGTGCTTCACCCCTCCGGTCCAACATCTTCTGCTGCTAATGGACCATTTCATCTCTTTTAGGAGAACCAGATGAGTCAAAAGATGCCTGGGAAAGTATTCTCTCACTCTCCATCTCTCTCTCTTAAACTCACACAACTATACTGTACATAATACTTACACAATATTTTGTACCAGAATGATAATTTTCTACTCAATATTTGGTGAATTCTCCCCATATTTGTAGAGCCTGGATTTTTTCATAGAACTGAGTGAAATATTTATGTAATATGCACAAAGGAAATATAAAATTAATCACAAACATTGCAGTGATCTTAAGACAAGATCTTTTAGACCAGTTCAAGATCATTTCTGGCAACATGCGTTTTTAGTCACTCACAAATGTAAAAAAACAACAACAAAAAAAACCTATACAGTAAACTACTGTAAACTATACAGTATGAAGATCAACATTGCTGTTTATTTACGTCTATGTGCATATGAATAAAAATGACTATATTTTCTTTCTTGTGTTTTTTGTTGTTGTTGCTTTTTTACTGTATTTTAGTCGGACAACATTTCTAATCTTTCAATCTTGGCAACTGTGGCTGTGAGGAAGGTTTATTATAGTTAACTAAAACTAAAACCAAAAAAAACAGTTATAATAAAAACATATAATAAAATAAACATTAACTGAAATAAAATATAAAATCCCGTAAAGTATACTATTTCAGCTTTTTACCTTGATATATTAAAGCAACTAAAACTGAAATGAAAATTGATAAAAACGATATAGACATAAAAAAAAACTTAAACTAAAGTTAAAATGAAGGTAAAAAAATATTTAAAAAATAATTCAAAATATTAATAAAAACCATAAGAGTATCTCTGTGATACTAAAATAACTACTAATAACTACTATGAGGCTGAAAGCAAATTTCAAAGCAAAATACATACATATTGAGATAAATATCAAATTACTGTCAAAATTTTGATCGATCTGGCACAACCCTAATTGCGAGAATGGGCAGAAATCACCAATGTCTTGCGTATGTGAGTATGTGTATATTTACCATCCCAGGCATCAAACATGTCCGTGATGAAATAGTCGATAAATGAGATCTGGGATTTGGGAATGCTGCAGGTATTCCGGTCAAACACTGGCATGACAACCGGCAAACCTTGTCTTTTCTCCTCATCAGTCTAGGGACAGAGGGAGATTACAAACACAGAAGCAAATGATTAAAGAGTGGAGACATGTTATTGTAAAAAAAAAAAAAAAATGGTATTGTAAAAATACTTCAACATAATTGATATATACATAAATATATACTGTATATATACACACACTATTGTTTCAAAAAAGTTTTTTTTAAATGTTTTAAAGAGATTGCATATTTTTTCCAAAATATGCTCACCAAGCATTGACATTGATTTGATCAAAAATACAGTAAAAACAGTAATGTTATTACAATGTAACAGTAATATTATTACAATTTAAAACCAACTGTTTTCTATATTAATACATTTATTTATTAAAGAATCCTGAAAAAAAAAAACCCATCACAGTTTCCAAAAAACTATTATGCAGCACAAATGTTTTAAACATTGATAATAATTTCTTGAGCAGCAAATCATTATATTAGAATGATTTCTGAAGGATCATGTGACACTGAAGACTGGAGTAATGATGCTGAAAATTCAGCAAAAAAAAAAAAAAACAGCATTAATTTGAAATAGAAACCAAACAAACGAAGAAACATGACCACAAACATCTGAAAGGTATTGTATAATAATATTTTTTTTTTCACCTTATTTTTTCATCAAAATACAGTAACATCTCAACACTTCTCATGGTCAAATCAAATCCCGATGAATAAAATCAAGTCTTGTCCCACATTATTTACTACTGAATACTGGGAAGTTACCGTTTCAATTGGAAATGCATTGTGTTATGAAAGTTAAATGACAACATAAAATTCGAAAGACATTGTAAACGGGTGCATATGTGACTGAATGTGTTTACCTGAGCAAAGTACTCCTCTGAAATGCGACCAGCCCATTCGATGCAGTTCTCCAGAGGTCTGCAGGGATTGGCCACATCGGCACATTTAATCAGCATCCGTTTAATTAACAGACGATTCTCAGGAGAGTTGCGAATACTGGCCTGTCCCTCACAATCACTGCCTTCACTCTGTTTTACATGCAGATCAGCAGTGGTTAGATTTCACTCTTACATATGTACAGTATGGAAACACAGTAACGAGTGTCTTACATTGGAGCTCGTCTCCTCAATGGCACTCATGGGTTTGTTGATGCTGTTTACGAACTTATTGACGTGTTCAAAGTGTCGAGTCATTTCTGTTGCCAACACCATGTCAATTATGGCTTGCCGTAGGGTCCGAAACTGAGTCCTGAATAGAGGTTGAGAGAGTTTAGTACTGGACCAATGTGAGTCATGTAAAATGTATGATTAAGCAGACACTGATACCTTTCCATGTTTTTGAAGATGTTGCACTTGCTGTCTCGTACAGTAAGCTGGAATGCGAGAGCGGCGTGGTGACTCTCCAGGACGGCTGTGTCGTTGTACAGAATCGCCAGCTCACTCCCCGCATTGCACAGGAATGAGTTGGTACGCCCCGGGTGATCAACGTCATGGACCGTGGCTGCCAATAGTGCTGCAACTTCATCTAACTGGTCAAGACTGCCCTGCAAACACAGCAGAGACACCGTTGGTGTAGGCAAGTTCTTAAAGTAACCCCATTTGTTTTTACTGATTAATCATTCTGATATTAACAGCATCAGCCAATAACTGTGGAAACTTAACTGGCTTCGTCAATTAATAATGCACAATTTCGGTTTCAAATATGTTAAGAGTGAATTTCGAATAACTATTAAAATGAATGTTAAATATTGATATTGAAATTATGATTGAAATTTTTAGCACTTGCATTCGAATAATCAATAAATATTATTTTTTGTATGTTATATCAAATATAAAATACTAATATAATATAACAAAATATAATATACTATAATATATTTATAATATTTATTCAAATAATATTGAAATTATGATAAAATTCTGATTCAATCCAGTTTACATTTTGATTTTACTTGACAACTGTAACAGTAAATGTAACATTTATTTATAAAGAAATTATAAAAAAATTGTAATTTATATTAATTTAATATTATTTTAATACTTAATATATTTAATACAAAAATTTTGGACAGATACAAAAAAAATAAGCTTTTTGGCAGCAAACACTTAAGATGGGTTTGGTGCACACAGGGATAAAAAAGTACCCCATGTGTAAAATGAAATACTCTGCTGTATCTTTAATGCTGTGGGCCTAATTTTCTGCCAGAGGTCCTGGACATCTTGTCCAGATTCCCATCATGGATTCGATCAAATACCAACAGATAAAAAATCAAAACCTGACAACCTCAGCTAGAAATCTTATAACGGGCCATGTTTGGATCTTCCAACAGGACAGTGATAAAAAAACAAACATCAAAACAAAAATGGGTCACTGAGCACAAAACCACGCATCTGCAATGGCCATCCCAGTCCCTGAAAATAGAAAATGAGTGGGCTGAACTGAAAAGAAGAATCGCCAACATGGATCTGGGAATCTGTAGGATCTGGAGAGATTCTGTATGGAGGAATTGAGACGTTTCTGTGGTTGTCAGGGTTACCTTGACTCGGTCCTTGCGCAGGAAGTAGGCTGTGGCGTGTAGAACGTCTGCAGCGTGTGTAGAATTGTGGTAGGAGTTGGAGGCGTGGTAATTAGCCTCGATCACCTGCAGCCACGAACGCAATGTGGCCTCTGTGCAGTCCAGGAACTCACACACGCCAAAAGCAGAGAAGATCTTCAGACCCAGGTATGAGAGCGGCCTGCGCACACGCACACACACTTTTCCCATCAAAAATAAAGTTTTACACCACAAAATGAACAGAGTAATGATCTAACTTTATGGTACCTCTTGTGTGTAGCTGCTTCCAGCTCCAGGATATTGAAATCCCAGCATTCCTCCTCATTGAGCAGCTCTGCGATGGATGGCGGGATGTCGTTTATTGGCACAGGTACTGCCAGCTGACTCTGACTCATGTCTGAGGGGGTCAAAGGTTCAAGGTCAAGATGGAATATGGCAGAAAGAAACAAAAACATATTTCAGACACCCAAATCATCTTCAATCAACAATCTACAACAAACACCCTGAGTGGCAAATTCACCAAATCTATAGGGTTTAATGTGAATAATTATCATACAACACTATACATATTTGATATAATTTCAAAAGTGCGGCTGGTACAAAGGTCTCATTCCCACAGAAGTAAACCAAACGCTAATAAATGTTTGAAGAGTTTAGAGATATTTAGCTTACTGTGGTGGGTGTGTCCTACTGCAAATTACCTTCTTACCACAGTAAGGTGTAAACTACCCAGGTCTGGAGACTTGAGTAATGCAAATTCCCATTGTTAGCTCATGTTTCCATTTGAAAGAGGTTTCTGTCTTGGTCTGAGTATTTAAAGAGATGTTGCAGGAGGCTCAAGACGATCAGCCCATAATGCTGAATGTCCTCAGACACTCAGCATTATGTATTTTTTCTAATGTCAGGTATGCATCTAACACCACAAATCTACGCTCAGGTTAGTAACGGACTTAAATACAGCTTAGGTGGAGCATTGTGGCACGCCGACTGACATTTTAGAGCTCAGACTAACACATTGGCATTAGTCAATGTATACTTAGACTGTAGAGGCTAATAATGGGTTTTCCGTTTAGAGCAACAGAGTGTTGTTAGACTAATCTAAATAGGGTGAGACTCAACCTCTGATTATTGTAATATTATTCTAACCAAGTGTACGTGGGAAACCACGGCATGATTATACAAAGATACCATTAGAAGAAGATAAGTTGGTCAGCTTGGTTCTATGGTAATGGTCATGACCTCTGGTTAGATATAGTCTTGCCTTAATTAAGTGTGTTCAGATCTATGGGGACTAAATAACATATTCTAGAATGAGCAAGTAGAGTACGGCCGTATAGAATATTTGTCAATCACCTCTGTCTGATGACCAAGACTGACGAGTTTGTGATTATGAGATCGTATACTCGGACGGTGCGAGACTCGAAGTGTTATAGGAATCTGGATGAACAAGTGTAATTTCAATAAAGAATTAAATAGAATAATCAAATGCGTAGATAAAATATTATACAAATGACAAATAACCAATTGGCATTCCAACCTAAATTCGAGGTCGTAAAAAAATGGAGTCAGATAAAAGTTTAATTGGAATTAAATTACTTTACCACGCTGAAAAGACCGAACACGCAATAGGGCGAATTTTTTATTAATTCTGTCTTTAATAACAGATTATTCAAAGCTAGTTTACAACATACAACTTTTCATCCAACCTCTATTATAATAATAATTTTCAGGGCTAGAACTTACTTTGTAATGCACTTTTGGAGAAGACGTACTCGTTCCCAGAGAGCCTTCTGAGTCCATCCTGAATTGAAGAAAAATACACATTAATATATCTGACTGAAATAAAAGAGAAAAAGACTTGAGGAAGCCAAAATATCGTTTCCAGCCAACATAATCATAACAACACACTTAAGCACAGCACTACCACGCAACCCATAACTCACTGGCGCTTGCACGCTCTCATGAGAAAAGCCATTTATCAGGCCTGGAGGATATTAAACACACAGAAAACAGATCCAGATTCAAATAGACTCATCCAGCACTTAAAACAAACTCTGTCTGAGATGTTGCAGGCGTAGGATAATAGAACTGTACATGCATAAATATGACACACACACATCCCGTCTGTAATGATCACAGGCTTCCAGCTGCACTATCTCAACCTGGATATTTCACTGTGTAATTGACCTCTGACCTCTCCCTCAAAAGGTCACCCACCAAAAAAGGTCATTTAAACTCTTGAGATTTGTGCATCGCATCCGCTTGACCTTCATGTAACAGAAAAAAAAGTGGCAATTATGAAAGGAAGCGACCTGAATCTGGCTTGTAGTTATTTAGCATTTTTAGGATTCAGAGCTACACTACCGTTTCAAAGTTTGGGGTCAGTAAGATATTTAAATGTTTTTCAAAAAAGTCTCTTAGGCATTTATTTAATCACAATATTCAGCACACATAACTGTTCTGTATATTCAGCTATAGACACATACCTGTTCTGTATATTCAGCTATAGACACAAATACACTAATGAAAAAACATATTTTTCGTTCATTTCTTCAATGAGGAGTTTTGTTTTATAATTTTTTCGTCCCAAGCGAACGCTCGACTCGTGTACCGCCGCTAAAACGGTGTTCGCTAAAATCCAGCTCTACGTCTTTCTGTTTGTAATACATTTCTTCAATAAATGTCTCAAATTACAGTAGGCCTGTAACAGTCATGATATTTGTGGCTTTACAGTTTTTTTGAAATCGCTTACACACAATTTCTGAAACTATAGCTCCATTTCTCAAAACTCTAAACACAAAACCACAAAATACACACACAAGATGTTTTGCAAAAGCAAACACTTCATTCAAACTATTTTAACTCTTCTAATTTTTTTTTTTTTTTTTTTTTTTGTCTGCTTTGAAACTATCTGTATTGTGTATAGCGCTATAGAAATAAAGGTGACTTGACTTGTTGCATTCAGTATATATGTATTATTTACAAAATAAACAGAAATGCAAGGGGGAAAAAATTATTTTTTTCTGAAAAAATTGAGTTTTGATTTCTAAGTGATCAATTTATGTATAAGTGTTTTCACACGAGCGTTTGATGTAGGTAATCGGAAAATAAATGTGTCATTTAAATGAAACACAAGAGCTGTTAGTTTTGAATGATGTGTCTAATGTAGAGAACTGTGTTAAGCATTTAGCAAAAATTTTGTTTTACAAATGCAAACTGAGTGTGTGAAGCATAATAATGTGCTTGTAGTTTTGCAGACTTGGTCTGAGGATTAGATATATGAGTGAATGGTTTCACTGAGTGAGCCTCAAGTACCACTTTTAGTGTCTAAGCATTTTTTAAAAACTGTAAAGCAATATTGTAAAGTGGTATAAATAAACATGATGTGACTTGATTGGATAGTGCTGAATTGCAGAGCTGGTTCAAACACATCTACATCGCTATGATCAGATGCTTTTAGTGTGTACGGCGTTGGGATGTTCATTAGCAGTATACCACAGCAAAGGTATTTAAAACTTCCTATAACCTCTAAGCAAAGAATGCCATAGTAACACTTTGGATCTGTTTTCTGGCTTCTCTCAAGAAGAGGCCATGATTTATTACATGCTCAATTAGGGTGACTCCCATTTCATTTGAAAGTCTATACCTTCTGTGTCTCTTCACTCCTGTTTCATCCTGCTATTCTCTATTCCTTTCTGTTCATGTCTTCTTTCAATTTCTCCTCTTATACTTTCCACTACACCACATTACCAATCTCTGCTCCCTCTCCTTTTACCTATTCTACTCTTCCTATACCCTCTCCTTTCTTAAAGGGGTCCTATTATGATTTTTCACTTTTTCAACTTTATTTAGTGTGTGATGTTGCTGTTTGAGCATAAAAAAGATCTGCGATGTTACAAAGCTCAAAGTCCACTCGACAGGGAGATATTTTGTTTAACAGAATCTGTTTAAGAACTACAACGAACAGCTTGTTTGGACTACAACACACTTTTTCCAGATCTTATGAAGTCATAATGTTCCTAATTTAAATAATCCCCGCCCACGGAATAAGCAAAAAAGTTGGCGAGACCTGGTTGAGCTTATTCTTATTCCTATTTTTTTTATTTGTAAAACAATATTTGTTACTTTTGAAAATAGTTTTTAGGTAACACTTTATTTTAAGGTGAAGTAGTTGCACGTTACTACATGTACTTACTATAGTGATAACAGTAAATTATGCATAATTACAAGTAACTAACCCTAAACCAAACCCTAACCCTAATCGTAACTCTATAGTAATGTAGTTAATTAATATTACTTAGTACTTATTTGAGTAAGTACAATGTAACTACGTCACCTTAAAATAAAGTTTAACCAGTTTGTATAGTTAGTTTTTATATTGATAGCTGTGCAAACCATTTAAAAAATTACATTTCCTGTGGACTGAAATCATTTCATGTGCAAATATGAATATGACAAATGACAGTTCCCTTTTAGTCGAGAACGTCAGACGTAGTCGATATCGACTGAATGCGTGATTCCCATTCAGCCGACGTCGACTACGTTCCTTCAGGGAACGGTGGGTTGCATACACAACCAGGACGTTTTGTTCCTGATATATTAAAATATCGTTTGGCTGTGTCAGCTATTATAAAAACTACTGTCAGGACTTACTAAACACAAGCAGTGAAAAATTAGCACTTAAAAGGCGTGAACAGTTATTTTTTGCAGCAGCTGACCTTATTGCATAATGCATTTGTAGGAGTTTCTCTTTCAGACGCAAAATTTATGGAGGCGAGTATTTAAATGAATCATGCAAGGTGATTTACTAAGGTTTGCACTCATCAATTCACTGTGTTTTGCGCCATTATTTAAAACCCAAAATAAGCACCTAATTTGCGCTGCTCTTGGTAGATTGCGCTGGTCAATATTGAAATGATCCAGCTGTGTCTGTGTCTTTTATTTGCGCGTCTTCAGTAGATCACGCACAGTACTTTCCACTCTCATTTTAATGGGATTGCGCTCACGCTATTTTGCCCTGTCTAGTAAATCTGGCCCTAACAATTAAGCAGTTTTAAAAGTATACACAAAAATGGAATTTTTAAAAGTACATATATTCAATGTCATAATTTCTTGAAAGAAATATTTTAAATTCAAATGCTAATGAAATGTTTTATAACTGAGTATAATTAGAAATTTCAATGAACTTTGTCCTGGCCTGATATTACCAAGCTTTCAAGGACTGTGGGAACCCTGCCAACTAACAATCTTCTAACTCGTGTCTGCAGCCAAAAAGTAAACCGGTAAAACTCCTTGGTATTTGTATCCAGCTATATCAGGAAGCTGATAATTTGAGCTTCACTGTTAAGCACTGTACATTGACGTACTGTTCAACTTGTATCATGCTGCCAGAAATCACCAACTCTCAAATCAGTGACTTCTGTGCTGCGTGTCCCTGCAAACCTCTGTCCATGTGAAGTCTAACAACTCTTTTCTTCTCTAAAACATTTTAAAAGTGGAATACTTTCAAAGGGGGAGACATGGGGATGTCAGACAGCGAGACTAATGTGTAAACAAGCGCGGCACTGTCGTCACAGACTGCTGGCTAACTGTGAAACACCCTGAGCCAATGTATCTGTGCCACAAAAATAAGTGCATTCACATCTACTGACTGCCATTGACATACAGTCACACACTCTAAGAACTTTTTCCTGGCAGAGCAAGTCTGAATATCTCCCGTAATGATGATTCTCTGCTAAAAAATCTGCTCTAGTTTTTATTTGCGTAAAGGAAATGAGTCTGTGGAGTTTCTCAGCTGCCTAATATTGATCTGTACTGTTTATGATGTTTTTGTACTGTAATTGTTTAAAGAGGATTTTAAGGCTATTTCTGTGTATCATGTGGTTTGAGATGACTTGTAATCTGTTGTGCCATTTAGTTCCAAACAAGAGTCATATGATGGAAACAAGATTGTCTTGCTCTTTTGAAATAAAGATATAAAATGATAGTAATAAAATACAATAATAAATAGGGTTAGTAATAAAATATAATAGCTTTAAGAATAAAAGGTGAATGCTTGTAATAGAGTCAGTATTAGGCATGCTAGATGACCCATGAACCTCCACTTACACTCATGAGCCCTCCCACCAGGTCATTGGTGTGGGGGTCGTCTTCTTTTGAGGCCAGTTGGGGTGAGTAGAGTTCGGTGGTCCGCAAAATCTCCAGAACACGATCCAGAGCTTCCGCTACTGTCACGGGACTGCTCTCCTGTGCTGCGTTAATGATATTTATCACCTATAAAGGCAACAGAATACAGGCAGACTGAAGACAGAGGGTGAGAGACAACTATAAACCACTAATCAAAGGTTTAGATCCATAAATATCTCTGTAAAGAATTTCCCCTTTTGACACTTCCATTGCCACAAACAAATCCTGAGTCATGTTCAAGTAATCGTAAATGTACCACAGCAGACACAGACAGAGGTGTTCAGCGCGTGACTCAAAGTTAGCATTTAAATTTGAATGGATGGATTAAAATTAAAATAAATCCATTTTACTGCAATTTTTTTGCTAGAAAAATCAAAGTTTGCAAAGACTGAGTATTAGCTTGACAAAGCCTTGTTGGAAAGTTTGAAAAGTAAAAAACAACCTTGAAACGATAGATAGATAGATAGATAGATAGATAGATAGATAGATAGATAGATAGATAGATAGATAGATAGATAGATAGATAGATAGATAGATAGATAGATAAAAAGATAGATAGATAGATAGATAGATAGATAGATAGATAGATAGATAGATAGATAGATAGATAGATAGATAGATAGACAGACAGATAGACAGATCGATACACCGACAGACAGATAGACAGAGATAGATAGATAGATAGATAGATAGATAGATAGACAGAACGACAGATAGTTAGATAGACAGACAAATGGACAGAATGATAGATAGATAGATAGATAGATGGAGAGATAGAGAGACAGACAGATAGATAGACATAATTTCCCAGAATTTCTGTGAATTGCAATTCAGTAAATTCTTCTTCCTGTCATCCAAAGTCAAATTTAACAGCTTATTGTTTACTATAGCTTTTGATGTACTACTTCTTGTCAGATGATTCTGTATTGATGCAGGTGGTTATAATGGTCTATAAAGGTGTTGAAGTGGTTGTAGTTATATTTAGTGATGTAGGGGGGTATAAAGGTTTATGGGCTTTTTGTATTCAGGTGTGTATAATAATGCAGGTGTACCTTAGTGATCGGGGCCTCAATAGTCATGGAGTGGATTCGGGCCATAGAGGAATATCTGCGATTCTGTAGACTGGGAGCTGAAAGAGAGAAAGAGAAGAAAAGAGCTCTTTAAATAGCTCCATCTGCGTCAGAGTGCACTGAGACTGTGGGTGTGCTGATGTCATCAAGCTACGTCACAAAAAGCCCCACTTAGCTAGAGCTCACACACACACACCCTGACTCATAAAACACACAGGCTTTTTTTTTCATAATTACTTCTAAACTGTTAAAGGGATTCGCTTTCCCTTATTTATGGTGTATTCTGACGAAACGCATCCTCTTTTTCTCTTACCATCGCTGCTGTGAGAGCTGATAGATCTGACGTCCACAGACTCTTTCCTCCGGTCCTTGTGACGTAAGGAATTGCAGTCTGGATAAATACAAAAGAGGAATGAGTGCACACGTACATAAAGAAGTACCTACATTAATCATCTCTTACACTGCCAACCAGCATCACTATTTTTTACCTTCATCATCATCATCATTACTATGATTTAACATCATCACAAGCACAGCAGTGATTTCATGAAGCAACTGACACACTTTCCTTTCTCAGAATAATAAAAAAGACTAGATGCTCAAATTTGTTTAATGAAAAAGCTGCTGATATAATGCATGTAGTGGGTTGCTGCCAGGGCAATGTTACGCAGTTGCTAAGGTCTATTATGTGGTTGTTAGGGTGTTGAGTGTTTTTTATTGCATTGCTATACAGTTGATAAGGTCTTCTAGAAGGCTGCAGGGTGTCGCCAAGTGGTTGCTATGGTGCTCTGGGTGGTTGCTAGGTAATTGCTTACTCTGATATTTTGGTATGTTGAAATCTGTAAAACAAAAATTGATAACACACCTTTCCACAAAAAGTTGCTAGATTTGAGGTATAATTCATATGTGGGACTAGTTAAACACCCCAATTAAATATTAAAGGGTTAGTGGTTGCTCAAACCATTACTATATTATTATTATTAATAATAATGCATTACAGCCTTATAAGACTTTAATGAATAATAAATTATTATATTATTATTATAAATAAATAATATATATATATATATATATATATATATAGAGAGAGAGAGAGAGATATTTATATACATTTATTTAAATAGCTTTTTTTTACATTTAATTTATACAGTTATTTTTTATTTGAATTAAATTATTTAAATGAACCTATTTGTATAAGGAACACTCTTTAATAAAAACAATTATCTTTTTCATTTTACACCATTTTTTTTATTGTAGTATAAACAATAATGATTCTTGCCCTAGAAAACAGCACAAATGATGTGAAATGGTGACCGCTGTTACTTTTATTGTGTCATGTAACATGCACATGCATGCAAAATTATTGGCAGGCAAATTATTATGGCTAATTTTACCAGTCTGACAGTCCCAGGGTGCACTGCAGCCATCTGTCTATTCTGCACCATGACCTATCTCTCTATCTTTTCTCTCTACTTCTCAATGCAGCATTGATCTGTGCATTTTCAATCATGCTTTTGTTTGCTTCACAGCATGTCACACAAACCAAATCTAAAAAGACCTGTTATAGGTTCCAGTGTGCTAATTAAGCAATCGTGCATGAGGGCTTCGAACACAAACAGTAAACAAACAAATAGATAAAGAGAGACGGTCTGGTATTGTACCTGATTGTGAGTTTTCACCACAGCTTTTGTCTTCTTTGCTCAACTTATGAACCTGCAAAAACAGATCTCTGATCAGCTCTCTCTCTCTCTCTCGCTCTCTCTCTCTCTCTCTCTCTCTCTCTCTCTCTCTCTCTCTCTCTCTCTCTCTCTCTCTCTCTCTCTCTCTCTCTCTCTCTCTCTCTCTCTCTCTCTCTCTCTCTCTCTCTCTCTCTCTCTCACACACACACACACACACACACACACACACAGATATGTACTTGTTTCAGCTCTTACTGATCTCAGTTCAAACTGTCTGGCAACAATACAACAATGACAAATGTGCAGATGATATCAGGTGACAATTAGAGCGTGGCTCTTGGCCAGAATAAGCTACAATATACCATAGGATTGTCACTACCAACATTTTAGTAGCCCATACCAATACCAGTCTTGATACTAATTTCAATACTATCGCAAAAATAGAAATGTTATTGAACAAACTCTTTTATTTAAAAAGTGAAATATTAACATAAATATGAATACATTAAATATGATTCAATATAATTTTAAATCAAATGTAAAAATTGTTAAGTTTAATTAAATATAAAGAAATTATATATTATATATACGGTAAGTGACAGTAAAGACATTTATACTGTTAAAAATGTATTCTATTCATCAAAGAATCCTGAAAAAAAAAAGATTGTCCCAGTTGCCACAAAAATATGAAGCAGCCCTATACTCTTTCCAACATTGATAATAATAAGAAATGTTTTTTTTTAACATCAAATCAGCATTATAATTATTTCTGAAGGATCTTGTGACACTGAAGACTGGAGTAATGATGCTGAAAATTCAGCTGTCATTGCAATAACAAATTATTTTAACTTACATTAAAATACAAAACAGTTATTTTAAATTGTAATACTATTTCACAATATAACTGTTTTACTGTATTTTAGCCTTGGTGAGCATAAGAGACTTCTTTCAAAAAACATTATAAACCTTACTGACTCCAAACTTTCGAATGGTAGTGTAAATATTAATATAAATACTAATAAATACCTTCACAATAAAAATGACAGCAATTCATGTTTAATCACACATTGTGACTGAAAACCAAGCATCTAACAAAATGTTTTGTTGCCCGTCGTTTGTTGTGGCTAGTTAGGATAGAGACTCAGATAAACATTGAACAGAGGATTTATCACAATGTCTGGTTTGTGCCTGATCATTGAGTTCACCTAGGTGGAAATCCTGCCCGCTGCAATCCATTTAATCCTTTTAACATGATCAAGTTTTGAATGAAAGAAACAGGATTTTCAGTCTTAGGTTAGAGATTAGAGAGCACTGCCAAAAATGAATCTATGCAGTGTGATGGTTGCGCTTTAGTAAAAGTTACATGCTACTGGCAGAAATAGAATATGGCTATATTACATATACGTTCACACTCATATATGTGCACAAACACGCACTCAAAAATAGATGCCATGTAGGTAAGAGGATTAAAGAGCCTAGTTACATCGTCCTGAAGGATGAGGTCACAGAATCTGATTAACTGTTTCATGACAAACACCCTCACTGCACCACAGGAGAAGATTTACTACATGCCCTCTGCTCTGATAATTACTGAGCATCTCGATTGATCCAGAGGAACTTTGTAATGCGCATTTAATTTCATTCATTTCTTAATATCTCTGTCATGTTTTCCAGTTAAAATATCTATTTTAAAAAAATATATTTTTGAAAGAAGTCTCTTATGCTCACCGAAGACGCATTTATTTGATTAAAAATACAGTAATAGTGTGAAATATTATTACAATTTAAAATAACTGTTTTCTATTTGAATATATTTAAAAATGTAATATATTCCTGTGATGTAAAGTTGAATTTTTCAGCATCCTTACTACGTGTCACATGATCCTTCAGAAATCATTCTAATATGATGATTTGCTGCTCAAAAAACAGTTCTTATTATTATTAATGTTGAAAACAGTTATGTACTGTTGTACTGTAACAATGTACTGACCCCAAACTTATTGTTTTTCCTTGTTTTAAATATCCTTTTAACAAAATTGTGTGGGGTTACGTATGCTTACGACAAGAAAAAAAGTCTTTGCTAATAAGGTAAGAAAAATACATTCAAATGATATTCTCTGAAAACAAGCCATATTATTTTTGCTTTTTAAATAAATGTATCTTGTGTTAAGGAAGTTAAGATATTTTTGTTGAATAACAGGACAAAAACACTTGCTAAATGCCTCATGAGAGCTCCTTAAGAAAAGCTTCCACTGACCCAGTTGGATGGCAATAAATATTTGATTCTAGTCTAGTCTACTATCCACTGCATTCTGACAGAAACTAGGGTAAGTTACCATGGTAGATTTGTGTAAGGCTTGTAACAGACACAGACGCGAGTGAGTAATAGTAACACCAGTGAGTAAAGCTACAGCTATTTCACACACGCGTCAGTGTGTCTGTTTCTCACGGGCCTTTCTGATCAGCAGCTCCACCTAATGCTAGAACTAACAGCAGGGTTTAGACTTGAGCCTGTGGAGGGTTATTAATAACCCTGACGCCCGTCTGGCTCTCTGACACTGGTCTGTCAGGATGGATGGTTTAGCGTAGCTAACATTTCTGCCCACTGCCGTTCCCATGAGCCTTGCACACTTAAAAAGTTTTGATGCTAATTTGGGAGCTCAATTAATAGCTTGGTCAATATTTATTGGATGCTCACTGATTAAAAGGAATCTTAATGAAAATATCACATGGGAAAGTAGATAAGAAATGTACCTGTCTGTGGTTGTCACTGTAAGGCCTCTTAATGGACACAAAATGGCGAATTTTTCTAGAAGATAAGGAAACAATTGACTTATTTATTGTAACTGATTTACATACCTTTATTGCTGCCATCAACCATTTATTTAGAACATAAAAATAAAATATAATTTATAATATTAAATATTTAATTTGTAAAAACAAAAACTAAATATTTAAATAATGTAATTAATAAATACTAAATAATTGATTATATATATATATATTTAAAAAAATTGTTTTACTATCATTATTTTTTTAAATACAAATATTTGTTATATTAATTTATTACCGAATATTAATTTTCAATTAAATTACAAAATATAAATTGTATCACTTTTTTATGATCATGTGACTTACCCTCCCTGACCAATCACAGGAGTGATTCTGACATATTGCTGAATACTGTCCCCTGACTTCCTCCGTGAGAAATAGATCCCCTGCCATTCCTAAGCAAGCAAACACAAACATACGTAAAAAAAATCATATCTAATAATTGAATAAATGATAAGTATTGTAAGAGTTATAAAAAGTTACACATTGCTAAAGTCAAATATGATCTAATAGTATGACCCTCATAAATCAATGTTGCTATGGCCGGCTGACCTTTCCTTTCTTGATGCAGGTGTTGATGGTGTCCAGCAGGTCGGCGCTGTTCTTGTCACTCTTAGGTAGTTCAGTCAACTCTTTACCAATCACTTCGCCTCTGTGATAGCCCATCATCTTTTCAAACGCTGGATTTACATACTAAAAATACACAGAAGAATAAAAACACCTGCATATCAACAAGTATGCATTAGAGAAAGGGGAAAACATTATGTATATTATATTGTATTCTTATTTTAGAAAATATTTTTTTTAAAGTCTAAATATACTTTTACTATTTATACTTTTTAGACTATACTTAGTCTAAAAATACTTAAAATGCTTTAATATTTAGAATATTAATATTAATTTATTTTACCCTGTTAATATTTGTTTGTTTACAAAAGAAAATAATATATTTGAATTATGTTTCAAAGTTGAATAAAAGTCGTCTTCTTAAGGTAAAAGTGTACTAATCTGGCACTGTAAGTGACATAAACCACAAATACAAATTATTATTAATTCTGTTAATTAATAAATGTTATGACAATTAATCAGAAGCAACATTTTATGATTGTTACAACCTTACGCTAAATCATTTTGGATTTACAAAACATCAAAATCAATATGAAAATCTTGCTGTCAAAAATGACGTGGGTTCACTTTATTTTTAGGCCATTCACTGTTCTCTAACTCTACTGGATTTGCTCCATAGGGCAGTCCTTGTAAGGATGTTGATGTGAACAAAAAAAGTCTGCTTAAATGTGACCAAAGCCCTGTGGGATGATCTGTTTGGATACCAAAACTCACTTGAATGACATGATCTTCACTGCTGATCTCCACGGCTTCCTGACACTGTTCTAACGCGATAAACACAGAGTTACAAGCCCTGGAACAACAGAAACACAAACAAATATTATATATATTTTAAACCAGCTTCTTTAGTTCTGAAATTGAAGCTCATGCTTGAGACTACTTACCTCAGTTTGAACTGAGCTCGAACCTCTCCATGTTCTAACTGGATTAACTCATTATAGCAGGCCGACACACTGCTGTTCTCCAGGTACCTCTGAAAGAGAGAGAGGCATATAGCTCCTAGTCTCATACAGCACTGCATATATCATACAGTATGCACGCTGTCCTATTTTCTACTGCCTGCTAAGTTAAGTTAAGTCAAGATTTTCCAGCTGGGATCAGTAAACAAACTTATCTGCTCTGGGTATTTATATTAAGGAACATCTGGGAAGTCCATGGGACACGACATTGAACTGAGATGAATGTTGAAATGCATTGCTACTTGTGAGTGTAGTGTAATAGAACCACTTAAAGTTCACCTAATAATAACAATTCTGTCATTAATTTCTCACCCTCATGACGTTCCAAACCGCAAGACTTCCGTTCATCTTCAGAACACAAATGAAGACCTTTTTGATTAAATCTGAGAGATTTCTGCCCCTCCATTGACAGCTACGCAAGTACCACTTTGATGTGTCAAAAAGTTCATAAATAGCTGTCAATGGAGGGACCGAAATCTCTCAGATTCCATCAGAAAGATAAATCACTTGTGTTCCAAAGATGAACGAGTCTTACGGGTTTGGAACGACATGGTGAGTAATTAATGACAGAATTTAATTTATTTTGGTGAACTATCCCTTTAATGACTTTGTCTGAGCAAAATTATATCTAAATTATGACCATGAGCAAGGATATACAAGAAAGGAATGTTATGTACATGGAGCAAATTTACAATTACAATTACTAAAATGTTTAGAGTTTAAATAATTTATTTTTATATTTTTTAAAAAGGGGCAAATAAAAAAAAACTTTGGTAATCAACAGTAAAAATGCTGCCGATAAAATGTAACTGATATTTAACTCATGACAGTCCTTTAAGGCTGTTTTGTACATATTAGCCTGAACAGGACATGGACAGGACACCCCCTGCTTGTCCCGCCCATGTAGAAGAGCAGAAATCCCTGTTTTAAGGCCCCAGCATACTTCAAGCAAAACTGAAGAACAAACTGGTGTGACATCATTTCGAACAAAACGAAGTTCGTTTCGGGAGTTCAAAACAGCTGGCCAAAGTGAACTTTCCGCAAAAGTTTGCTCCGGCCAGTTAACACCTTCGAACTAACATTTGTCCATGGCGATTATGTAGGTAGGTGTGCTCTGAGGCTCCGCCTTCTTTAGAGTAAAATACTCACTCTGGAGAAGCCAGCAGAGAGAAGAGGAAGGACAGATGGTTCCTCCTGATCTGAGGGACTGTGTGAGAGAGAGAGAAAGATCAGTAGGAGGAACATGATAGACATCTGTAACACATGGATAACAGATCCAAAAGTGTTCCGAGGTAAACCTTACATTTGTGGCATCACTGCCAATATAACAGTGTGTTCAGAAGGCTTAACCGCTCGGATCATCCTGTTTAAAAACACACACAATAATAAAAAAGTAGGTTTTTATATTTTCTGAGTCCATCATGACTAATACAACAGTGAAATCAAGCATCTTGTACACATTTCCCTTACTCGCACATACACAACTCCAAAAGACTCGCTCACACACTCAGACGTCCACTGGGAAAAAAAGTGATTTAGCAACAACTAGATTTGGTAGAGAGTTGCCAGCTTTGAATGTGTGAGTGAGTGCGTGCAGATGCATTTAAACCAGGAATTAACACCCGCCACCAATCAAATTCAGACCATTCCCTTGCCTTATTAACCTGTCAGCCACTCTGGTGGGCAACCTGTAACTGGTCTTAAAGAGTTCTTAAAGATTCACAAATAATTAAATATAATAATCCGATTTTTTGTGTGAAGCAAAAGCATGTCGTTGCAGCCCAATTTTTTCACACACAACCGTTCAAAAATGTGGGGTCTGTAAGATTTTTTTAATGAAAGAAGTTTCTTTATGCTTATCAAGGCTATTTATTTGATCAAAAATACAGTAAAAACAGTAATATTGTGAAATGCTATTTTCTATTTAAATATATTTTAAAATGCCATTTTCCTGTGATGGTAAAGTTGAATTTTCAGCATCATTACTCCAATCTTCAGTGTCACATGATCCTTCAGAAATTACTCTAATATGCTGATTTGATTTTTTTTAACAATGTTGTTTATTATTATCAATAATTATTAGAAAATTATCAATAATTATCAACAGTTGTGCTGCTTTATATTTTTGTGGAAACCATGATACATTTTTTTCAATGTTATTTGATGAATAGAAAGTTCAAAATAACAGCATTTGAAAAAAATATTTTCTAACATTGTAAATGTCTTTACGGTAACTTTAAATCAATTGAATGCATTCTTGCTGAATAAAAATATGAATTTCTTAGAAAAAAAAAATCATATTGACCCCAAACTTTTGAACAGTAGTGTAGGCAAAATGTACATTACAACTGAAATATACATAAATGAATCATAATCAAAATGTCTCTGTGCAGAAATGTCCATGTAACCGTGTATAAGAGAAGAACAGAACTGAGCAGGAGAGAGATGATGGATGGTTTGTTGGACTCACCTGCAGACGGCATCAGCCTCAAAGTACCGTGAGTGCCGCCCATCAATGATGACGATCTCGTGGTGTTTATCCATGAAACACTCCACCGCAGACTCAGGTGTTCGTGCGATGTTACACCTGAACCCCGCACGCTCACACGCCCACCAGAAAGCATCGCTCTGACTGTCCTCTTTAGCGAAGACCAGTAACACCTGAGCGAGAGAGAGACGGAGAGAAAGAGAGAGAGAGAGGTGCTGTTGTTGGTTGCATGTGAAAGGTCAACAGTCTTTCATCCTGTTGAGCGCTGTGTAACCATGGAGCTGCGATGTGAAATTCCACATGGCCCAGGTCGTTCAGGACGCCTCTGTCGCCGCTACCTCACTCTGGAGGCCCACCGTGCAGCGTCGCATGTGCACCTACAGGGGGCGGAGTGACCTCACCCACTCAAACACTATTGCCGTGTCCCAATACACCTACTTATGCTATGCCCTAAAAGTATATACTCTTTTTGTGAAGAAAAAGTGTGTAGTAGAAGAATAGGCAAGCTTTGGGACATACTACCGAGTCAAAAAATTGCATTCTGTCACATAATTTACGTGCTTTCTGTCACCATAAACCGGTCTGTCAATCATCCTGTCACAGTTAAAGGGATAGTTCACCCAAAAATGAAAATTGGGTCATCATTTACTCATCCTTATGTTGTTCCAAACCTGTAAGAGTTTCTTTGTTCTGCCGAACACAAAAGAAGATATTTTAGAGAATGCTGGTAATCCAACAGTTGACAGTAGCCATTGACTTCCATAGTATTTTTTGTCAATGGTTATAGTAAACTGTTTGATTACCAGCATTCTTCAAAATATCTTCTTTTGTGTTCAGCAGAACAATGAAACTCATACAGGTTTGGAACAACATAAGGATGAGTAAATGATGACACATTTTTCATTTTTGGGTGAACTATCCCATTCTATTACATTCGGTTCGGTTATTTACGACAGTGACAACCACATTCTATATCCAAACTCACACCCATACATTTTCAGGACTCTCAACCGCATTCTCGGAAAACCAGCGCTGTGTGAACAGAACCGGACTGGACAACTAGTTGTCTGTCACGTGACCATGTGTCTACCGTGTGTTGTGGGTTTTCGTGTGTGGCTTCGCTTTCGGTAACTTACAGCGATGGAGATAAGACCTATGTATCATCTGAAGGTTTTAGATCCAGTCACTGTTCTCCACCAGAGCTGCTTTTGTCAGTTTTGTACACGTCTGAATGCTCCGCTCTCTACCCACATATTACATATATAAGCTGCTGTCGTTTAATGAAGATTTGACGAATGAACTGGCGGCTCGATTACATTACATTATAGGCCTTTATCATAGTCATCGTGTCGTCACATCCTGCATTATTGTCAATAGAAGGATCCCAGATGCCAGAAGGATCACTGGACTGATTATGTTTAATTTTGCCTTATATCACCACCCATTATTGTCTACAGTATAATGCTATCCAAACATTGCACTCAAACACAGAGGATATGACTCGTTTACGATGATCAAACCATTTTTTTTTTTAAATAATCATCTATGTGCTGGAAATATTCTCTTTTAAACAATTTAAATTTGATCTAATTATTGATGATTGCATCGTAAAGTAAGTGCATGAAAAAAAGTTTCCCCCAAAACCTTTTAATTGAATCCCCCCAAAACAGACTTCAGTTGTAAGTAGATTTGTCTAATTCTAATGCTCTTTAATGTGATATGTTGTTTGTACTGTATTCTTGCAGTTCTGCAATAAAATAAGGGGTCCCACTTTATATTAAGTGGCTTTAAGTACTATGTACTTACATTGAAAAATAAGTACAATGTACTTATTGTGTTCATGTTGTATTGTAAAACACTTGTCTGCTATTGAGGAGGTGTGATACTGGTAAGGTTAGGGACAGGTGTGGTGGTATGGGTCGGTTTAAGGATAGGTTAAGGTGTAAGGGAAGGGTTAACTGTGTAATTACAAATGTAATTATATAAATTAATTACAGCTGTAATTACATTCAGGTATTTTCAAAATATAAGTACAATGTAAAAACATGTATGTACACAATAAGTCCATTGTATCAAATTATTAATTTCAATGTAAGTACATAGTACTTAAAGGCACTTAATATAAAGTGGGACCAAATAAGGTGATCAGACTGAAGTATTGCACATGCGCGCTCCCCTTTAAATCACGAAATATGGACTCGGAATATTATGACACCTTTTTTCTTTGTTTCACACAATCCTCAATTAATGAACTGAGGTTGGTGTCTTTAGAAGAAGAATCTGTGCTGAATTTTAAATAAATAAATAAACAATCCCGTGCTATTTTTTACGCTCCTAATTGAAGCTTCCGCTTTTCGAACGTGAAAGTGTGATAAAGGCCTATTGCCATGACAAAAGTGATAAGACTTTTCAGTTTTATGGATGCCGTCATCTTTTATGTTACTTTGGTCACTCCCACTATGAATACTTGACTCATAAATTGCTGTTTGAACGGGACATTTTGAGACTCACACCTGTAAGTAAATGCAGTTGTAAATCCCCAAACCACAGAGTGAACGTAGCCATATACATACATTTTAATTCATTTTACACTACTCAAATAATAGTATTAGTCAGAAAATTGATTCAGTCATGGGTCTTGGATGAGGAGAATTTGCTTTGCAATGTATTTAATTACTCAAACCTCTTTCAGTGCATCTCTACTTAACCGTCGGTCTCACGAACACCATGTTTGCCATATGCTCTTTACTAATGCAGGGACACACTTAACAACTAGCTGAAACATTCTAAGACTGAACTGAACACACTTACAGACTGTTTCCAATGACTGGAGCAGATTTTAAACAGCGACTGTGAACACCGACCGAACGCAACTGTCTCCGACTCTGCGAGTTTGGCCATGATCAGCCAAGTATCAAATTACATTCATAATCGGCCTTACAATTGTTAAGTGTGTCCCCGGCTTAAATAACGCATCATATCTTATCTTATCTTTTCGGTTTTGTTTGTTTTCTTATTTGTTTTTATATAATCTACATATAAATACAATTTTACTTCTTTGTTACTCTCAGACCCCTGACTTATATGAGATCTTACACCAAATCTAGGTAACAAATTTATGTAACCTGTAATGCTGTGTCGTCGGATTTGGTAAATCTTCTATATATGTGCAACTTTTCAAATCAAATTAAAATGCTATTTGGTGTATGAAGCAGATTAAGCGTCACTAGAAATAGTGAAATAATTAAATAGAGTGTTATACTGCCTTGGCGGATTTGGTGACCCTGCTGTATATCTGCACATGTTCACATCAGACTAAAAATTTTAGACATCTCTAGAGTGAATTTGAGGGGCATTACAGATAGTTTGTCCATTAATAATAATATTAATAATAATAATGTAAATATTTTCCTTACTTGAAACAAAATAAATATTAACTGGGTATATATATATATATATATATATATATATATATATATATATATATATATATATAAAATACACATTTTAATTTAGCCTAGTTTAACTTGAAGTGCTAAAATAACTGAAACTAAATTAAGCAAAACTAGTAAATACAATTAATAAAAACTATATTTAGCCATATTTAAAAAATAAATGAATCAAAAACCAATAAAAATGACAAAATCACTCAACAAAATGAGTAGGCCTAATACTAAAAACAGAAAATATATTTAAAAAATTCTAAATATTAACAAAAACTATAATTGTATATCAATGATACTAAAATAACACTGGAACTTAGACAGATTCGAAGTCAATTTAATTTCAAAAGAGCCTAAAAAAAGATGACAGGTGATTCATTTGTAAAATCAATCTTGATTGATTTCCACAGATACATCAGCTGAATCTGACTTTACATAAACAGATTACAAACAGCCTCAATTTATCGTGACTGACAAGCGGCACTCAATCATTAAGTTAACATTACATACACTTTCTCTTTTTAGTTCCACTTTTAGTTAACCATAATTCCCACTAATACCACAGACACACACACACACAGGATAATCTCTCTGCCAATCCTCTGAGACATCTCAAGATTATCCCAGAGGACATGAGCCCATGTTAAGAGGCCTTTGGTGCCCTCACTCACTAGTTGGAAACAGGACAATGCAGATTTGACAGTAATGCATTATGATGTCACAGGACATATCGCTCCATAGCATGTACACATCACTACAAAGGGGCCTGCAGTGATGCACTATGACGTCACAGTGTCATTCCACAATGTAATCGTGCAGAAACTATGGCCACAGGCAGTGGCACACTGTAAAGTTCCAGATGTGACAACTGCATTTCAGCTGCACCCCAAATTATTGTTCCGTGTGTCTACGGAACACGACTTATTCACAAAATTGCTATGATTAACACCGTGGAAACCATATTAGCAATGCTATGATGTCTTGCATCTTTGGTATCCACTATTTTTGACCAAAGTGACAAAAGACGCTTTATGTTCTGCAGTTTTACTGTTACTACAGTAACTACTGCTGATACAGGCGTTTTTGGGCTTGTTATGGAGTTTTTTAAGTGGGTAGGTAGGGTTCGCCATATTTTGGTAGCTTATTATTTTCAATATAAAACATTTGGACTTATTTCAATTTAGTATGGGCTTGTTCTTGTTTGCTGTTTTTTTTCTAGCAAGATCTGGGTGTTTTAATGGGTAGTGCTAATAAATTGCTGAAATCAAAAATTATTTTACTCAATAGCCTACAATATTCACATTTTTAAAATGTTATTATCCACTGACAAGGCCGACAGATTTAGCCTCGAAACAAGGAGGATCTAAAGGTGATGATACACAGGGCAACTTTTTGAGCAATGTTGCTGGGCAATGTTCCTGTCAACGGGCAACCAGATGAGACACAGGGCCCACGACCGATCTAAATGATCCAGATAGAAATGTATTGGCCATTTTTAATGGGAAAGTGACCAAGCAACAATCGCTCGGCAAGATTGCCCAGCAACATAGCTCAAAAAGTTGCCCTGTGTATCATCACCTTAACACTTCTGATGCTTGCCAAGCCAGCAAGATTATCGGCCAATGCCGAATTTCAAATCGGTCAAAAGTTGGTGGTTAATTTAAATAAAGTCAAAGCACATCCTTTTCATTAAAGCATTTGATCATTCACTTAAAGCAACCTGAGGTTTAGCAACTCCCACATGGATTCAGTCTCAGCAATTAACCAATTAAACATGCACCTTTTGTTACCCATCCCAGATCATTAACCAGATCTAAGCCAGAAGTTCTCAAACTTTTTGGGGGGCCAGGGATCCCCTCATAATTATTAAGCAAATGCTTGCTACAGTTTGTACTCTCGTAATCATAAAGGATGCCTAATCAATTAAAACTAAACTGCATATACAATTTAGCAACAATTTATTAAAAGTTTAACAAAAATGACATGTTTAGGGTCATATGAAATTTAAATTTAACTTAATTTAATTTTAATAATCAAGAAGCATGTCTAATCAATTGAATTCATAAAACTTTAACAACTTATAATTTTTTTAAAAGATGTTTACAATAAAAGGGTCCTATGAAATGTTTATTTTTTTGTTTAATACAAATTTATCATCAAAAAAGGCGGTAATGAAATTAAGGCTAATCTTTTAAAAATGTAATCTTTAATTTAATTGAATCCTGAAAATGTAACAATTCTTTTTATTTGAAGACTGGAGTGCTGGAAGTTCAGCTTTGCATCACAGGAATAAATTACATTTTAAATAATATCTATACATTACTGTAATATTACTGTTTTTACTATGTTTGATCACATAAATGCAGCCTTAATGAGCATAAGAGACTTCTTTTAAAAACTTAAAGAAAAAAACTTACTGACTCCAAACTTTTGAATGCTCAGGCATTCATTTTCCAGCAAACACACATTGATTAAACATGAGGGCTCTACCTGAATGGGCTCCTGGGTCAGTCGCATCGGCCCTAAGCGCTCTTCTGCAGCAGACACCTGGGAGAGATTGAGAAAAACAGGTACGTTTTGTTGAAATGAGGTTACAAACGGCAACAAATTGAAGAATGTATCCGGTTTTACCATCTCAGAGCCCTGAAGCAACATTCTGACATGCCTAGCCTGTTTTTAATCACGCATTGTTTGCACACGTGCTTGAATGTCCATCAGTACAACCATTACGCAAACTAAATAAGACAAACAATGTCGGTCCCCCGAAGAAATAATGTTTCACAGGTTGAAATAATGTTGATGTGTTCGCAAGACAGATGTAGCCATCCTGATCAGCATGAACTCCAATCCAACTGTGTTATCCAGCTGATTAGAGCATGGTTTTTAACCAGAGCTTCGAACACTTCTAACAGCAGTCGACGGATATGATGTAGATTGTCGAAAAAGTAAAAGGTTGTTTTTTATAGCGTTGTCCAAATGGTAAGGCAGCATTGTTGCAATGACAGAGAGCAGGTGGCTCAAAGCTTCCTGCGTCATCCACTTTAACACAACACATAAGCCTCTCAGCAGGAATCACACACTCACACTCACACTCACACTCACGCACAAACACACATGTACAAAAAGCCTTCACAGGCTAAATACAGATCAAAATCACTACACTCTAAAAAATGCTGGCTGGTTTCAACCCATGGTTGGGTAAAATATATACTAACCCAACCGTTGGGTTATTAAAAAATTTCAACCAACGGTTGGGTTCGTCCATATTCGACCCAACCATGAGTTCAAACAACCCACCATTTTTTTGAGTTTATAAATGCTATGTAATGCACATTTCATGTTGCAAGAAGAATAAGGAAATGAGGATTAATATTTAGATACACTGCAACACTGAATTCTTTGTTTTGATTGTAAAAATAAAGTCAATTTACTTGAGAAAACTGCTCCTCTCTTTCACTCTTTTGTAAATGGGAGAGCATAAATTTGCTTTAGTCATCTGCCTGTTTTATGTTAATTTTGCCCATTGAGAGGTCATCTACAGTCAAGAGCTTCTATTCTTGTGACTACACACACACTGGCATTCCTATCATTATGAGGACATTCCACAGACATTACGATTTTTATACTGTACAAACTGAATATTCTGTTCCCTTACACTAACCCTAAACATCACAGAAAACTTTCAGCATTTTTACATTTTCAAAAAACATCACTTAGTATGATTTATAAGCTGCTTTCCTCATGGTTATTAATACAATTTCTGGTATTACTATCCTTGTGGGGATATTGGTCCCCATAACATATAGGGTTTATCAGGCACACACATACACACACAACAGCTAAAGCCTGAGTATTAAGTCCTATTAAAAATCCTATACAATTAGCTAAATCTACGACGCAGATTTACTGTCACTCTTCACACCTTACCTAACAGCTGCCTTCAGATTGAATATTAAAGATGATGTGTGTAAGTTCTGCACCAATAACTGCAAATAAGGAATTGGGAAAATGTGAGTGCAAAACTCACTGTGATGGTTGGCAGGGCATTGAAATGTATGGGATTTTTTGTTGCCTGTTTTATTATCTCCCAGACAAAAAGGTACGTGTAATAGCACACATCTCATACGGACTAATAACATGTTTCCCAAACACCCTGTAAACCCGGATAAGTAGAATCTACTTAAAAAAACCAAGGTAACTCGTTGCCTTAAAATTTTTAAGTAATGAAGCATTAGTTGAATAAGTGAAGTGGATTACGTTCAATGTACTTAAGTCCATAATGGAATGGAAAAGAACATTTAAGTTGAATGTACTAATGACCGAGTTACAGTAACTGAAGATACTTAGTTTAAACAATCATTCCCCAACCTTTATTTAACTCAGCTTGTTAAGTAAGCATTACTCCATTACCAATTCAACTAAATTGTATATTCTTACTGACCCAACTTAACTTTTAAATTCCTGATACTCAAAATATCTTTCAATCAATAGAGCCATGTAAAATACATACAACTGCAACGTTACACTGTTTCAAATTTTTTTTTATTGAACATGTCTTTTTTCAGCAACAACAGAAACAAAGCCATGGCCTAATAGGTTTCTAGTGTGTAGTTTCCTCAGTGATGGCATGAAAAGAAAAAAAGTCTCTTCATCTTTATCTCCAATCATTACAATATTGTACTGCACCTCTTCATATTTGGTTGACAAACTGGCAAGATAAAACTCGCCACTTCTGAACACTGGCATCTTAACATTTATACTTTAACACTTAACATTTACATTTGGTTGACAAACTGGCAAGATAAAACTCAGCCCTGCTGAACACTGGCAGCTTAAAGGGTTAGTTCACCCAAAAATGAAAATTATGTCATTAATGACTCACCCTCATGTCGCTCCAAGCCCGTCAGACCTCCGTTCATCTTCGGAACACAGTTTAAGATATTTTAGATTTAGTCCGAGAGCTTTCTGTCCCTCCATTGTAAATGTATGTACGGTATACTGTCCTTGTCCAGAAAGGAAATAAAGACATCATCAAAGTAGTCCATGTGACATCAGTGGGTTAGTTAGAATGTTTTTAAGCATCAAAAATACATTTTGGTCCAAAAATAACAAAAACTACGACTTTATTCAGCATTGTATTGTGTTCCGGTTCTGTTGTGGATCCGCGTTCAGTGCCGCTGCTGACGTAAGACGCTGCTGACGTGTGTCTGGTGCGCCCGAGCTTCGTTTACAGTCTTTCCACACAGAGGAAGACTTGCATTGATTTGCCCAGCCATATTTATTTGTACCCGAATACACGGACGCACCAGACACACGTCAGCAGCGTCTTACGTCAGCAGCGGCACTGAACGCGGATCCACAACAGAACCGGAACACAATACAATGCTGAATAAAGTCCTAGTTTTTGTTATTTTTGGACCAAAATGTATTTTTGATGCTTAAAAACACTCTAACTAACCCACTGATGTCACATGGACTACTTTGATGATGTCTTTATTTCCTTTCTGGACAAGGACAGTATACCGTACATACATTTACAATGGAGGGACAGAAAGCTCTCGGACTACATCTAAAATATCTTAAACTGTGTTCCGAAGATGAACGGAGGTCTTACGGGCTTGGAACGACATGAGGGCAAGTCATTAATGACATAATTTTCATTTTTGGGTGAACTAACCCTTTAACATTTACAAATAGGCTAACAAATGTCATGTGTCCATGGAAAAACAAAAAAGTGTATGAGAATGAAAGAGAACGGGAGGGTGAAAAAAAATAAGAGAGCAGATACCTGTATGGAGAGCCCATACTCTCCCCTCCACCTATACCTCCCTTTCTCTCTCCCCCTCCCCTCCCCTCCCGTCTCTACCACACTCCTCCATCTTGGCAATTGTGAACTCGATCATTAAAGGAACACGCCGACTTTTTGGGACTTTAGTTTATTCACCGTATCCCCCAGAGTTAGATCAGTCCATACACACCCTTTTCATCTCTGTGCGTGCTGTAACTCTGTCTGACACACCCACCGCTAGCCTAGCTTAGCACAAAGACTGGAAGTAAATGGCTCCAGCTAGCATACTGCTCCCAATAAGTGACAAAATAACGCCGACATTTTCCTATTTATATATTGTGATTTGTATAGTCACAGTGTGTACAAATAACAAGGTCATATGACACACAGCACCCTTATAACCGTATACATACTGGGAACTATATTCTCAGAAAGCAAAGCACTGCTACTTGGGTGGAGTGATTAGCGCAACACTCTGAGAGAACTCTCTGCTCCTCACCACCGGGCTTCTCAGGTGCTGCAAGCAAATCACTCCGCCCAAGTAGCAGTGCTTTGCCTTCTGAGAATATAGTTCCCAGTATGTATACTGTTATAAGGGTGCTGTGTGTCATATGACCTTGTTATTTGTACACACTGTGACTATACAAATCACAACATATAAATAGGAAAATGTTGGCGTTATTTTATCACTTATTGGGAGCAGTATGCCAGCTGCAACTATTTACATCCAGTCTTTGTGCTAAGCTAGGCTAGCGGTGGGTGCGTCAGACAGAGTTACAGCACGCACGGAGATGAAAAAGGAATGTATGGACTTATCTAACTCTGGGGGATACGGTGAATAAGCTAAAGTCCCCAAAAGTTGGTGATTCCTTTAACAAAAAATGTTTCTCTGGATAAAAAAAAAAAAGCATGTGTGAAACAGAATAAGGGTGAAAAATAAAACTTACATAAACTTAAATAAAACAGTAGATACCCATCTAGAGACCATAGAGGAGATGCTGGATCTTACATTGCAAGCTGATTCTTGAGTGTTTGAAGTTTAGGTTTCAGATCAGTCTTACCTAAGTTCAGAAGTACCTGTTGAATAAAATCTAAAGTGTTCTCCATGTACTTTGGGTAGTTGAGATGCAGTGCAAAGGTAAGTCCGAAGACAATGTACATGGCCTGGGGCAGGCTCTCAACATCCATCACAATGTTTCCCACTGAAGATGCAGTGTGGTGAAGGGACTGTGTGTGTGGAGTGATGTTTCCTGTTCATGGCAGAGGATCCCCACTGGCACATCATTGTACGAATCTTCCTCATCATCAATGTCCTGAAAAAAGGAACAGGGCATGATCACATCAACATGACAACATAGTGCTACAAACACAGAGATGCTGTATTTCCTATAAATGCACTAAATGCATTTATTTTGTTTACAAGTTCCAGATGGAGTCTGGAGATGATGTGGGGTACTTATTGTTTACTGTTAACATCATACTTTACACACTGTAAAGTAAGGCTGTTGTAGCTAGTTCAGGGGAGAGAATTAAATTGTCACTAATCTAAATGTCTATTCTTGATAACAATTGAATTGCTACTAGTAAAAAAATTCATTTTTGATATCTGAAAAAGTATTTCTGATATCAATATTATTTCAGATATATGAAATGGCTTTCTTACTAGTAACAATCACATTCATGATATCAGAAATGAACATTGTCACTAGTGAAAATTGAATTATTGATATCAAAAATAAAGATTTTTACTAGTAAGAATTGTATTTCTGATATGTGAAGTTGAAATTCCAACTAGTAAGAAATAAATTATTGATATCAACAATTGATTTTGAATGGCAGCCTATGGTGACATTTCACTAGTGAACATACAATTACAGATATTAAGAATTATAGTTTTTACTAGTTGCAATTCAATTGTTGATATCAAGATTTATAATTTTAACTAGTGAAAATTGAATTGTTGATATCAAGGATTCATATCCTGGAAATGAATAAAAGTGAACACGGCTTGCCATAGTAGAGCAGTCTATTGTGTGACCGAGTACGCGTACCCAAACACCGCTGCGGACTCAAAGTGTAACTTACCCAAAGCGGACGGTCACGTCGGCGCAAAGCTCAATTTCTATGTCCGGGCGGACTCCGTACTCGATGTCACACAATAGAATCCGGTTTAAAAAGGCAGCTGGGATCTGCGCCAACTTACCGGGAAGTTCGCTGGTCCGTGGTCCGTGACGCTATAGGTGTCCGGCTCAGC